TGTAGTGACTCCTGTACAGCTCTGAACCACCAAGTCACGACAGTATCATATAGGCTAGTTTGAACAAATTGGATATCGACGGTATTTAAAATTGGGGTTCCAGGATGAAAATGCCACGCTCTAATGACTTGTAGACCAAACGTAACGAATTACTCATTGCTATAGAGTCAACGGAACACATACTTTAAATTGTAAGATGTATAGAAGGGTTCAGTGAGGTACATTGCTCAGTGAGTAGGCTAACTATCTAATTGCCTTTGAAAGATTAACAATTGGTGAATGATATAAATATCACGCCACTGAGCAAAAGTCAGAGTGCCGCAGTCCAAGTAATAAGAATTGAAAAATATATTTACATACCTAGTAGTGATGCGATCTCTAGGATTGTCTCAATATTGAACATATTTTTAGTTTTATGATCAAAAGGGAGAACAATACTCGTCGCATCGTTGTGAATACAAAATAGTGGTTTTCATCACTTGGCCTCGCCTCGCTTTTAAAACACGATTGCGTACATTTGAACAAACAATACAAAATGGCCACCATTACTCATGCATAAAAATATACCCTTAGAAAATAATTACAACATTTTAATTTGTAGGCTACACAAAAAAAATAAATTTCGTTCCTCATCGTAATAAAATAAGTGTGAAGTTCACCTATATCTTGATAAAAAATCGGTCAAATCAATCACAGAAACTGAGCATAAAAAAACTGACGTTTTATGTGTTAATTCTTAAGATGATAATTCAAAAATACGTAGTAAACAATGTTTCCTCAACGGGAAGGTAGGGCAGGCTAGGGTGAGCTCTAAATTTGGCTGTGACGTCATAATTCAAATTCGAGCGGTGTTTTGACGCCAGGCGGCCTCGTTTGGAATCTTGCCTCTGGCTTTGAACATTTGAGCACAGATCAGCGATCAGCGTTAATACTGGCGCTCGCGATCATCGGGAATCTAATCGAGTTGGATTTGGCAGAACTTGCGAATTGCTCAAGTAGTTAATTGTGAGAACAGATTGAGTGCGAGTTTGAGGAATCGATGGTGTGATCGTGGAAATGTCAAAGTGAAATAAAGTGCTCAGCATGTTGCGTCTAATTATTGCAATCATGAGTTGGCAGAGGCTGTACCTTAGATAAAACACACTCACTAAATTTAATATGTAAGCTACTCTCACTTATACACAACAATATCATAACTAACTGTCAAATACAAGAGTAAATTTGTGACTGCCATAATAATCGATAACAAAATAGTAAACTTAATAGTTACCAAACAGTTTTATTGACAATGTTGTTTAATTCAACTAATAAAACTAAATTGGTTCGTATACCTCCAAAAAACCTTTCGCCTGACGAAAATCTTAGTGTTTAACCGTGCAAAATGCAAAGAAGATTTTTCCATGTAGGATACAAACAAAAACTATGGTTGACCACACAAGATGAAACATTAGAAAGTCAAAGTTTGTTGTTTATTTTCTATGAAAAATTAATTGTACGACTTAATTGCGCCCACAAACTACTACTTTTATTCTGTGAAACTACTTACTTGGTTCCTGTTCCTAGTCAAGGAATGTGTTGCAAATTTAATGAACGAATTTTAATTTTGAGGATGCATTTTTGTTGCACTAACATGAAGTGTGTCTACCAACTAAGTGATTATGCTGCAAGTTAACTGGACATAACGCATGTCTGCAGGGTAGCTGGAAGACCAACTCGGTAGTAGGGACTCGTCGTACATCAACAGTCCAATCTTCATCCACCGTCGAACCAAGACGAAACATTTGACGAATCTAGCAGACCGAGGTTGACCAATGTCCGATAAGTGATTTTAACATTGCCACTTAAACAACACGCGATATCTCAAGTCAAGGGTGGGGCCAGACTGGGGAGAACGTTTCAATGTTTGCGAGGGTAAAGTTTCGCCTCTCATCAGCTGTCCGGATCAGGTTGCAAAACATTTGGCGCGAAACCCCCGATGCCCGCTGCTTTTAAATGCTAATGCAACCCTTTTAAAAAGTTCATTCCTCTTCTTCAGTGTTTATTTTCTAGGACGAAATTATTATAATATTTATTATAATTTAGAGAACCCCCACTATGCAAAATCATCAACACATATATAAACCAGTGGAGTTGTGATTGATAATTTATTAATCTCTGACAATTTAAAATTAGTACTTTTAATTAGCTTGAGTGAATTAAGCTACCCGAATTGTTGAAATTGCGAAAGTTACTTGTTCATAGATAACCCGGAACTGTGACACAACCGAATGATTAATATTCAGCAGGTTCTTGCATTTCATATATCCAAAAAGTGATATTTCACAATAGATCTAAGAAGAATTAATTCAAGTTAGACTTACGAAAATCATAAAATGTGTAAAAACGTTCGGATTTACTTCCTTTTGAGTTGCAGTTGCACTTCTGCACTCACAAGTATTAAGATTTTACAAATGTATTATTTGAAGGCGTTAAGGACTGAACTGCTAAAAATATCAAGCCCAGCACAAACATATAGTTAACTTTTCCACCCGAACTAACCTTTTCTCACACCTCAGTATATCAACCTACAATGGTTCTAATACAGCTGGTATACAATACTGTAATACAATATTCCGTATCCTTGATCCGCTAATCACCATACTGTCTACAACACCTAAACAATCAAACCTATTGCTGGTTTCATTTCAAAGCCTCTCACATTCAACATAGTGTACTAGTGTACCGGCAACTCGATACGTGTGTAAGGGGACGCCATCAATCTAGAGGGGGGGGGGGGGATAGCGGTGTCGGATGTCAGAAGAAACATGACACCTGCATCTGCGGCGCAACCTGGGCAAAAGTCAGGAACTAACAAAGCTCTGAGTTTCTGTAATTGATTACTAGACTCTGAAGTGCAAGTGGATAGGGTACTCTTGACATTGGAACTGGAGTCATAGCGTGGAAATAAATGGACTGTCATACGTGAGGGAGTTGGATCTTGGATGTTCCTGAGCAGTGAATGTTTTGACGATAGTTTGAGCTGGAATGGAACAGTAACATTGTATAGTTGGCAGTCGTCCTCTTCCTTGAAGGGTGAAAACAGTGGCAGCCACAGGATTTTATTTCCGGTGGGGGGGGGGGGGGGGGGATGACCACAACACTGGGTCTGGGGGGTACCGAATATGTCCCAGGAAAAAGAGATCCGGCCCCCTCGGAAAATGTGGAATTTAAAGCCTAAATACGTATTTTATACGTATTTGAGGTCTCAAATATGCTCAAGCTATTAGTATTGATGTTAGCTAATAAAATATAAAATATTCCCGGGGGGTATACCCCCCCCATCCCCCCCCCTGGGACCACCACTGGGCGAAAATTTTGAATGTTACCATTCTTTTGCATTTCAGTGTTGCAATATCTGTAGCTGGGATGAGGGCGTACAAGTTAACCCCTCGAGTAACCACCCCTGAAAAGTTTTTAGTCCTTGGACTACGGTCACGTAACTCTAGTGATAAAATGACGATCCATCAAACGGCGAGAGATCTGCCGTTGACCCAGCCAAACTAAAATGTATACAATTTCATCCACCGATGTCTTTGTAAAAGGTGCATAAAAGTAATTTACAATAAATTCTCGCACGTAACCCAATTTATGTAATTAAGCCCATTTAGTACTTAGGTGAGCTACGAGGAACATGAGAAGTCGCATTTATATTTGTTTCGTAAAAATTGCATAGCCTTAAGTGATTCTGTCTAAGTAGTCATTTTGCGGTTAAATCTCATGGGTGACCGCAGGGGCGCAATGATAAGACAGTAAAGGTCAGGTAGGTCGGTTTAGTACCAACAATCAACAATGTATCACTGTGTCACACCATACTATCAGCGCAAGCCGCTTATAAGCTACCCAGGTTGCTATCTTATTATACTAATCTTACATCTAAAAAAAGAGGAAGTATGTATGTATGTACCCTATGTAATACCAAAACCGCTCGACAGATTGTAATGAAACTTTCAGGCATTATTAAGCATTATTCAAGGATGGTTTGTGTGAAAATTGGTGCAGATCCGTCAAAAGGGCTTCGCTCCAGAAGGTCTTTAAGGGATCCAACGTCAGACTCTTGGAACTACAATCTAACATAAATAATTAAGTGAATAATAATCGTGCTAATCTCAGGTATTCGAATGCCTCCCATATGGTCATTAACCAACTACAATACTGTCTTTAAAAGAGGGAACTCCAATAATACTAATGCGAATCTTAAATCCACCCAAGCTGTGCAACGGAACCAGACTGACGATTTAAAAATGACACCATACTTGATCGAAGCGAAAAAGACAAAAAGCTAAACACTAATACTTTTATACACCTAATGAAAAAACAAATACCCCCGCCGCAGCAAACCTGCCGACTAAGCGAATTTCCATTTGTCTGAATTGATTTTCAATTAAATTTATTTAAATAACATTAGGTTTAACGAGTATGCTACCTAGGTTTGCTGCTACAAGGAAACTAATAAAGTGTGTATTTAAGTAAAATATTAATAGCTTAGTATAAATTAATAAAGTTGCCAAGTTTGATCAAAATATATCCACAAACAAGCAAAATACAACAGCTTAAACAATATTCTCCATAAGAGTAACATAGGAATTTTAAATTTACAATTTTTTGAATTTTCTCCGTTACTAATAACTGTACAAAAACACTTTGATATACTAAATTATTTTTTTTTAAGCTCTTTAAAAAGGTCTAGAGGTACAATACTTGCTAATTACTGATTACTGTCAAGAATACAATCAATTTCTCAAAAGTGAAAAAATATTACATTATTCGAGGAAAATATTCTGATATTTAAAACAATTTAAAATATAAAGATTGTCTGAACAATTATAAACCTAAATTATTGTTTTAGTACAACATTAAACAAGTGAAACTACATAGGTAAATATGAATAAAGCGGGGTTTACTTTTCTGATAACAACCTCCTTAAATTATAATTTTTTTAGGAAAATAAAAAACAAAATTACCTTAATTTCTTCATCAGAAGTCTCTTTCTTAATCTTGGGACCAGCGGGCTGCGTAGTTTTGCTGCCCATGTACTGGACAGGGCACGCCGCGCTATCACAACACTTCTCACAACAGTACACTGACAACAATGCTACCTCACTCGCGCGGTGTGAGCGACTGTGCTATTGCGACTGAGGAGGCGGATACAGTCAGTGCTACCAACACAACGGACCAACATGTCCCACGCAGCGAAAAAATCCCTTTTTATGCCATGTAACAACAAACCAAACTGACATGTTGATCAAATGTAAAATATCGTTAGAATTATATAACTTTCAATAAGATTAAAAATCAATCTCAGTATTTGTAAAATACTACAGACTTTTTAATAATTTAAGTATTGCCTGATGTGTGGGTAGTGAATGTATATTGATTACATTCAAATCACAAATAACAGAACAAAACTTAACAAAAACAAATAACAAATAACAGGTGAATAGCCAAAGTGTTACTATAATATAATATTCATACTCAACTCAATCAAATTTAAAAACAAATTAAAAAATTATCTCATAGAAATCGCTCCCTACTCCATTAAAGAGGTGTTTCCCCAATTAACCTGATTTTATTGGTAGTTTCTTAGTATTATATAAATTGTAATTTTAGCTTATAACTTTATTTACTAGGTTAGGAATCTGACACTATTCAATGTACAATGTACAATTGTTGAATAAAGATATTGAAATGAAATGAAATGAAATACTACAAGAAAACACATATTTCATTTAATTTCAAAGAGCTGTGCGAATTTAAGGATTTATTTATTTGTCATGTAAAGTAACTTAAAGAAATTTTCTATGTTTTCTACAGTACTTATAATGCAAAATTTTTAAAATATCTCACAAAATTAGAGAACCCACAGAATAAATAGTAGCTTTTCACTGGAAGGGAGGAGCAGGGTAATTTTGGGTTTCTTTGTAGCCCTATCACACCACTTGGCCTTGTACCAATCCTGCACAATTAATTAACATTTTTGAAAAGTTAGACCTAATGTCAAAATGTGTATTAGTATTCACGTTTGATTTGTAGGCCTACATTTTTACTTAGGATATTTGTACACCGACTGATTTAAAATTCTTAATGGATCTGAAGATGAAATAGTAATATGTAAGTGAGGTATCTGAACAAACTTAGGATTCGTTGGTACTGCGCTCACAATCCTGCAGTAAAAAAAAAAAAATAGCTTAACAAAATCAGTAAAACATATTTAATATTTTGAATAACACAACATTATTATAACTATTAGCAGATTTAAACAATGTAACATAAACTAGTCCTAAATCATACCCACAAGTCACTTCAGAGACCCATCATGTAAGCCAGAGACTCATTAGGTAGTCATTAAGCCTACTCCTAAAAAGTAGGAAGATTAGATTTTGCCTCTGTTCTAAACCTAGCACAGCTGACTGTGTTCTTCATTGAGGATTGCGCTCTCGCTCTGCTGCAAAAAAACTCAGCTTTCTTAACAGAAAAGTAGGGAGCAGACTTGCTTTGAAACTTTCAAAATGGACTTGTTTTATCCAGAACACATCAGCATATGACAGACAACAAATTACTTAAGTTATTATTTTCATTGAGACATGTTCACAATAAAACTATGATAACAGCCTGAAGAAGAAATCATTGCCATTCCATAAATTAGCTGATCAGTAATTGTTGTTATGGAAATAAAAGAGATATTGATTTAAATGAATTTTTAAGTACAGTAACTGTGGTAACAATAATTAGTTATTGTTTACTGATTTACCATTATGGAGGCGTCATTTTTTATTTGTACATTTTTTATTATGTCCCTGCCAATCGCCCTTGAAGTATACTACAACTTTTGCCACTTCTTCCCTTAAACAACTTTTCAGCCAGAAGTCAAACTCCAAATTCGTAGGATACTTTTACAGAAAAAATTAACAATCTTGAAGAAGAAACTGATTTGGAGCTATCCCTGACAATTGTAGCTGAAGCAGGCTCTGCTCTTTTGAAAGAAAAGGAGAAACTGAAACAGAATTTGCATGCTAGATCAAAGACTCTGCCCAATTTTTATCACCCAAGAGGGATGTTTTCAATGTCTTAAGATTACTCGCATAAAAGACCCTGTTTGAACTGCGCTGCTTATCTACTCATCTTGGCAAAGAACATTACTGGTTGGATGTATAATGAATGTTTTAAATGCACAAAAGCTAGCTACATATTTTGTGTCAAATGCTTTACACCAAGAAAGCTTGAATTTGACACAAGAGATAAGATTGTGGAATAAAACTATAGCTGCCGTTGAAGGTGGGTAGCATTTGAGGATGGCTATAAAACATAACCACACTGTTTAACTCAGCAGCTTAGAGCCATTTGTTGGACCAAAAGTAAGGAATGGCGAATATATAATTGCATTTAAAAGTTATAAGGTTTCCCAACAGGGTGCAGCACTATTATTACATATTTTGTTTTTGCATATGACAACAGCTAATTTGAACTAAGCAGCAACAAAAAGCTGTGATACACAATGAGAACTGTCAAAGTAGGACTGTTTACAGTTAGGTTTGAGTTTTTAATTTAACGAATAATTTGTGATATTGTGCAAATGTTTGATAATTTATTTTTTCTATTGTTTAGGTGCAGTGGTAGAACATTGTGGTAATGGTAAATGTGTTGTCATATCATACCGTAAATTTATGAACCAAATTTTATCAAACTGTGTCCTCCCCCATTGCAAACGCAAAGCTTGAGTATAACTGCAATAAGCATTTTATACTTATATGCCAACCCCGTACGAAGGACGGATGCTCTGCTAGTTTATTATAAGCTACAAAAAAGCATTGTAAAGACTTAAACACATTTGTTAAATTTCTTCAATAATCAGCACAAACAATAAGACCTTTTTTGCTTTAAACCATAAAATCAAACCTTAATTCTCAATTCACTGTTTTTTATAAATGTAGAATCTTTAACTTTGGATATGGGAAATAAAATTCATATTTCACATAAATGCATTTATCTTTTATTTTATATAAGGTATGAAATTAGAACTGCAAAAAATAGGTTTATATTAGTCATACAGTAACTAGATAAGTAATTAAAGGACCTAAACTATTAATAATACTGAGCACTTCTACTTAGGTTTTCAAAATACTAAGTCTACACATCATAACCTATATTTTTGTAAGAGTTCACAATTAGATTGAAAATTGATTAAGAATTTTTTACATAGCAAGGTAGATATAAAGAACAATATTCCGAATTTTCATATATCATTTAAAATACTATGAAATAATAAATTGCTTATCATAAAAATAAAACTAAAAAACAACATGTTGCATAAGGTTTGAATAATAGTGCAAGTTCATCTTTAATATCTTGCTACAAAATGAAGAAAACTTATCATTCAGTGAATTGTTTTGATATTTGGACAATAAATTCTAAACTAGAAACATAGTTTTAAGCCGACATGATACCACAATGACAATGTATCTATTTGTTACTATTTTAATAATTATGGTTTAACATGTTCTCTACCATTTGTCACCACACTTCGGTGTATAGAGGTCTGAAGACAGATAGTTAATTAACTAAAATTGAATTAACTGTTTGAAATTTGTATAGACTACAAGCATAAGCAAATTCTGACCTTTTAAGATCTAAAACAAAAGATGAAAATGATTGTAAAAAAAAACTGATCAGAAAACGAGGGTTGTTCAAGAATTAAAGTCTTCATCGTGCTCCTGTCGCAGCTAATCTAGCTAGATCAAATCTAAGGCCAACATTGTGTTCCTTATTTTTCATCCTTAACTATTCTAGCCGGTGAAAGATATAAAATGTGTACAAGGGGTGATGGGAGTTTGGAAGTGGTCTTTAATATTTGCACAAAATGTTATTCTTGGTGTAGGCAGACTGAGCTGTCATTCATTTGTCTTGTTTCAAGCAGTGACCAAAGTTAGAGGAGATTTGCATTAGGATTACGGCGTGACTGATCAAAAGGGATTTTTGAACTGATATAGGACATCTCTATTTATAAGACTATTAAGGTCTATTGTCAGCCTTTGAGCAAAATTCCTATAAGAAAACAGAGTTTCCTAAAATTCAATTACTGGTGGAAAATGATAAACATGCTGCTATTATTGCTTGCCCCATTGAGCAAATGTGTACGGCCCTCTTCAAACTTCCTAAGCCACTTATGCACACTTTCTAAGTCAATATACCAAATCCTTTAACTCACAACAGTAATCAACAGAGATTCATTCTTGGCAGAAGAGCGCCAATTTCCTATCACAACATTATCGAATACTATGACAGGACCAAAAGTCCTATGGGGATAGGAACCTGCTAGAATAGCAGTGGATGAAGTAAGGACATGTCATCGGTTTCAGATGTCATTTGACCTAGTCCTTTTGGCTGTGAAGAGATTTCGATTATGACCTTATTTTTTGGTCAGCCTTGTACATTCTTAAAATGTAGCATTTCTAGTTTACCAAAGAAGAATTAGGTTTAATTTGAGTATCAATTGCATGCAATTGCCAAAATTATTTGTATTGAAGTTTAACTTGAATGAACATTTGATTTGCTATCTCCTGATTTGCTAAGAGGACTATAAGGACTCCTCCGATCCTCGGTTTCGTAGACCATTAGGGGTTTTTGATTTTCTCTCAGTGTCTAAATTGTCAACCACAATCTCGTCAGTAGAATTATTTTCCTCTTCAGATGATTTGAGTTGTTTTACCGTGTCTTTTGAGCAGAGGATGAACTTTAACTCCTTTTTCAATTCCTGTCCAAAAGATTCCTGGAAAATAATCCACATTTTAGTTGTGTGACTGTAGTGAAATGAAAATTATTTCCAGATAAAACTATAAGGTTTTTGACAGACTTAATAATACTATTCAACTCAAAGACACTAAGTATAGTACATTGCAAATTAATCACTATTTTTACAGTTTGAATATGGTTAATTGAGCACATAATTTGTAAGTATTTTGTTTTTTAAGCTAAGATTATTATTAAATTTGTTTTGGATTAGCCAAATAAAAGAAATTGTTGTTATGTTTTCTGGATAGTGATGTGTAAAACTACTATAAAAAAGTAGTAAAACTAGTTCTGACTAATTCTGGCTTTTACAAAACGCATGACAACATTCATATGCCTCTTGCACTTAAGACAGAGGACATAAGTATGTCTTTCTTAATACATATGGAAAGGAATATCTTAACAAAATACTACTGTTATCGAAATTTTCTCAAAACTTTGTTTTTTACTAATCCTTATGGGAAATAATCCTATTCTCTAATACGAGCAATATTTGCTTGTATGTATGCTTGCTTGCTTGCAAAAAAGATCTCGAAAACGGCTCCGACGATTTTCTTCAAATGTTGTAAATAGTTTATTTCTGGCCTAAAAACGAGTTTACTGCAGTTAGAACTGCCAACAAAATTCTAATTACGTAGAAAAATGAAACTGAAAATCACATTTTTTAAACATTAGTCTTATGGGTTGCTAGGTAGGCCTAACCATGTGTTGGATGAATTAAATAACAAGGATAAAGTAAACAAAAGACTAGAAGTTGTAGCATTTGTTCATAATAAGCCAACTACTCACAGTATACTAGAAAATTACAAATACAGTACAAAAGGAAAAACATCACTTGTTAATATTTAGCAAATATTATACTGAAGATTACTCGATACATTGTAGTCAAGGGCAGCAGTGCGAAGTCTGGGATCTGTTTATGACGATTAGATTAAGGTATCTGCAATCCTAAAATGCTATGGGAAGGGGAGGAAACAGGTCCGCGACATAGGAAGTGGTGTGGGAACTGTTTATGACGATTAGATTAAGGTATCTGCAATCTTTGAATGCAATGGGAAGAGAGGTAAACAGGTTTGCGACGTAGGAAGTGGTGAAGGAAGTAGTAAAGGCGAGTATTATAAATTGTGGGAACTGTTTATGACGATTAGATTAAGGTGTCTGCAATTCTGAAATGCTATGGGAAGGGAGGAATACAGGTCCGCTACGTTGGAAGTGGTGAAGGAAGTAGTCAAGGCGAGCTGTCCGGAATGTGGGAACTGTTAATAACAATTAGATTAGGTATCTATAATCCTAAAGTGCTATGGGAATGGAGGTAAACAGGTTTGCTATGTAGGAAATGGTGTAGGGCGTAGTAAAGGCGAGCCGTGTGGAGTTTGGGAATGGATTTATGTATCTCCAATACTAAGGTGCTTTCAGAGTGAACTAATGATTTTCCCCGAGCAAAGCTCGGTCACGAGATATGACCATTTTATGTTAAAGGCAATCTTTCATTTCTTTGTTTCAAGTTCTATTTTAGTGATAGTGAGTTTATGTTAATTAAGAGTAACATAAACTCACTATCACTAAAATAGAACTTGAAACAAAGAAATGAAAGATTGCCTTTAACATAAAATGGTCATGGACAGCATTTTATATTTTATGATTACAATAGAACAGAGACTTTATGTTGTGCTTTTAACCTAAATCTGAGTAAGAGGGTAGATTGTATTAAGATACCTAAAGTCGGGACCACGTAAGTTTGCAGTTGGTGGCAGCCAATCACAAGACAATGCTAGTGCGACATTGCTACATCGCCCGTTGACAACACTAATTAGAATATACTAAGCAATATTTTCAAATCAGCTGGGATTTTTAGATTTGGCAACACCGCACGGTTCGCATTGGTCCATTCAAAACCATATGGTTATAATAGGCTCCTCCCTCAACTGCTAACTTATGTGGTCCCGACTGTAGCTTTGTTACTGACCCAAACCAGCTCTATCCAAGGCTATTTATTAAAAGCACCATGATGAAGAACAGCTGGGTTAGTTTCAAACCACCAAACAGCTAACTTTTCTCAGGATTGAATGGGCAACTGATAACAAACTAGGGTAACACCACCTCCACCTTGCCACCACACTAAACTACTTTGCTCGTCCTTCATTGGTGAAAACTCTTGGTTTGTAGTTCAGATAAAATACCTTGTCCTCCTTGTTGTAGACCTCATATACCAACTCCGCAAATGCCACCAAGGCAGCAAAGGCGGTGCCGAACACCAACACTAAGAACACTCCACCAACGTTGTCCAGATCCAACTCCTCGGCTTCACCACCGCCTCCACCATCACTCTACTCGGACAACATTACACAACTGTCAGCTGGCTTAATATTTTTTACATGCTACGGTTGAATTCTGTAGCTGTAATGACTGATTTCGATTTGGACCCATGACGTTATCTATATATATAAAATCCAATGTATGTTTGTTTGTATGTTTGTCCTTTATGGACTCCGAAACCGCTCGACAGATTGTAATGAAACTTTCAGGCATTATTAAGCATTATTCAATGATGGTTTGTGTAAAGTTTGGTGCAGATCCGTCAAAAGGGCTCCACCCCAGTGGCTCTGGGGTTTCCCATGTTAACCTTATGAGTACTCATATTTAAATGGAATTAAAGAAAATTAACAGCTGGTTTAACTAAGCAATTTGATTCTGTGATGTTCAATAGCATTAAAAGTTAATTAGTTTACCAACAGGGTGCAGCACAATTATATTTTTTAAATTTATGACAACAGCTAATTTGCAACCAAAAGGTGAGTGAGCGTAGCGAACGAACTTCAACCTGAAGGCAAGTGAGCACAGCGAATGAGCTCCAACCTAAAGGTGAGTGAGCGTAGCGAACGAACTTCAACCAGGATCTTGAAAATGAACAAGCATTTGACATAAAAGCATAGGACAGGACGACGTCTGTCGGGCCAGCTAGTAATAGATATAAAAAAATATGACAGAGTGTGTTATTCATGTTCTCATGAAACAATACATCTGTAATCAGTGCATCGATTTAGGGTTGTTTGACTGTACGTGGTAAAGGTAAAATATACCTTTAATGTGCTTTTTTAAACCTAAAGGCCGTTCATCACAACATTTTTGCTTAGCCTCTTGACATAATAATAGAGACTTGTGCTAAAACAAAATTTTCAATTTCAACCTAGGCTACTTTTGTCTTGTCTAAAATTTAATGTAAAAGTATGAAACTTCAAAAACAGCTCATTCGGTATAAAAATTTATAACAATACAAAAAATAAACCTATTTTCTGATCCTAATGATGTACAGTAATAGGAATGAAATTTAAAAAAAGGGAGAAGTTTTAGTACCAAAGCGTCTAACAACTAAAACAAGCTAGCTTTCTCCATGTAAGAATAACCATAGATAAAACATACACCCTTAGTAGATTTCTCATTCTTATGGAGCAGCTGAAGACAACTTTATTGTTAGTTCTGTACAGTGTACTGCAGAGGTCGTGTTTTGTTTACAATTTGTTTCTTGTTATTTCAGTAAAACCTTGTTTAACCAAATAATACAATCCAATCATAAACAATAACTCGTCCCTTAGTTATATAACCAAACAGTAAAGCACAAATCAAGAAATTGACCATAAAAAATTAAATCAAAATTTCTTCGACACTAGCGTTCAGTGGAATAACTAAATAAACTCACATCACAGGCGCCTCCTCCTCTCTTCTCCTTCCACCATTTCTTGTACAGCTGAGTGAGTTTACCTTTTTCCTGGAGTTTTATGACACTACTGCTGAGAATGTTCCTGTACCAAGCTCCTGAAAAAAAAAAAAAAAAAAAACATTAAGACAGCTGATCAACATCTAAACAGCTGTGGCCAAGTTTGATGAGTCTCTCTTACCAAGATGTTTAGATTTGTAAGTGTTAGTTAAATCTTTATAAACTTCTGTATATAATTATTACTATATTTATTATTATATTTATTGTTCAATTAGTGATAGCTTATTTCCAAGCCAAATCTGTATTTTAAAATCTCATTTCAATCTGATTAAGGATTGCTATGTTAGAGTCTCACTCACACAAGCCTACACAAAACACACACACTATCTCGGCTGTGTTGCCCGATACAGGTCGAATCCTATTAGTTCAAAAATGTGGCGTGAAATGGAAATGGATAAATTAGCGGTACCCCTCTAAGAAAAATTGAGGTAGCATCCCTTTCCCCTCCAAAAATCATTTTCAGTTGAAATGTAACTCTCCTTGGCTAAATATGTGCATTGCGCTGTATTTAGTCACTCTTTCTCTATTTATAAACTTTTACTGCTAAAACCGCTTTTCGGGCTCTCTACCGCTCTTCAATCGTTCATCACGAACAATTAAACTGTCTCGACCTCAAACTTGGTCAAAAGTGTTTTTACATTATTTAAAACAGACTTTATCGCCGCCGCCGCCAAGCAGTTCCGCTCGCTGCGTCTTCTCTGTGACTGCCCGGGACCTGTATCAAGTGCCAACTTCAGTGGATTCCCACATCAAGTATTCCCCAAATGCACACTTCCCTAATCTCTACACAATCTATAAATTGGCTACCCTCTTCCTGAGACATCGTCATCCGCCCTTTTTACGCCCCATAGAAAAATTTTCAAAATATTAACTTTACTCTTACTATTAAACATACCTTTGTGCATTGCAATCCCATATCCTTTATTATCCAGGGGGTTTCCAACCTGTCTCAGTTGGCATTTCCTTTGCACCTGAAAAGTATTAAGAACTCATGAACACCACAAATCTCTATACCTTCTCCTTAGTTGACGTATGAACTGTAGGAATCATTCCTTATTAAGACAATATGGAATTTGTTAATAAGGTAAAAAGTGATGATGACCCCCAACAAGAGGCAGTTCTTTGGCAGGTATCAACTAGATATCGAGGATACACCTCACATAGATACCACCAGCTGGTTAATTTGTTGGAACTGGGGATGAATAGGAAGCTCATGGAGCTACAAGCCAGTGAAGAATAAATCTTGAAAGGCACAGTGCATTTCCCCATTTGGTGATCTGAATCAGAGTTATGAATTTTAGCAACCATTCTTCATGCCTAGAGTGTAGGATTCACCGTAAAAACTAAAAAAATATGCTGTAAAATATTTGTAGAATCACCTCGTAGTCTATGGACGCAGACTCCATGAGGAAGGCGTACTCCTCAGTGTCGCTGAGCACTCGGTCTACTCCCTCCTTGTTGCTTTTGGTCATCACATCTTCATAGTTGTCCTGCATGTACTGCCACATGGTTTGATACGTCGAGTGGTTCGAAGACTGTCACATTACAAATAGTTTACAACAACAATGTGATTTCAATAGTGTTTTTGAAATTGAATTAACTTTAAGTACTACCATAGAGTGAATAAGTACCATGTTGTCTGTTTATTCTGGTACTATCATAGGTAAAACATCCTCCCTTATACTTGAAATCGTCAATATAGGTGATTAAATTAATTTGATATCTCGGACGATTACTTAAGATTAAACTTTAGAATGACAAATTAAATATTAAAAACCATCTTCTTTTTTTCTTTCATAAACAACAACACTCTGAACTATTATCTTTTTGTTAACAAAACAATTAAAGCATATGATTAATATTAATCAGTAAAGTCTTTTGGCGAACTTATAGTGAAATATCTATTGAGGGTTTTTTTATAAAAATGATTATTCATCGTATGTCACACTTATGACTTATCATTATATTAAATTTACCGCAAAAAACTTAAGCACTTACTAGCAATATCTTTTATGACATATTAAAAGCCAAAATGTTCTCATGTACACCATTTATTATATGTATATCACTAACTTTAGCAGAATAAGTAGATAAATCTGTAACAGAAAAACGTACCATGAAATAATGAAAAACAATTTGTCAACATTAATGCACTCCCGTGAGGCTAAAAACATCTCAATATAGGTTAATTATTTCACATTACAATGGGAAGTCAACATCATGTATCCTTAGCCGTAGAACATAATTATACATGCTTAACACGTTCGCTGCGGGCCATCAAATGGCAGGCGTAGCCCCAGTGCGGCGCAGCCCGCAGCGTCGAACAAACCCGATTGCCGGGTGTTTGGCTCTCATATTTCAGTATGAGGAATAGCAAATAACGTGCGGTGATGTCCTGTTTTATAACAAGAATCGACGTAGTTCGCTAAACACTCACATATAGCAGCACTGCTTGGAACGTAGCCGGTCCCATCGTATTGCCAATTGGAGGGAGAAAGACGGGACAACAAGTTGATTTTTAAGTTTGGCAGACGGGGATTTTATGGGGAAATTTTACTACCAACCTACAACACTACAAAAAGCAAGTCACCCACTACACGCTAACGTGGAATAGGTCTGCCTTCGACCGACGCTAGAGCAAAAACGATGATATACGAAAGGCATTGCCGAGCGTATCCGATCGGTTACTGCAGCGTCTGAACAGCTCTCGGCCCGTATCCGATCGGATACGCCCGCAGTGAACGTGTTAAGAATAGTCCCTTGGAAACTAAATCAGCTCCTTCGACTTAAAAATCACTGAATTGTAGGATATAAAGTAAATTAAATTGTATACACTATAATGGAAGGTAAAAAAATTTAAAATGTGAGGTATATGCAAATTTGGCCGTTTAAACCTGTAATTTATTTACAATTAGAAATTCAAGTAAAGTATCTTACTTTGAAGAACCCCTCAGTTGCACCACCAGCCTTGGCACCATACTTGACAAACACAGGAGCATTAGGCTTCTGATTGGCCAGCTCCTCTACATTGCGGAATATCTCTTCATTCTGCTCTACTGTGAGGAAGGCGGCCAGGTTGGCTGTGTAGGAGGAGACGATGATGAGAGTGAAGAACCACCACACAGACGCCAGCATGCGAGTGGATACTGAACTGGAACAATTGTAAAATTCAAGGATCTAAATAGCAAAAATCAAATACAACAAATACTGGACATGCATGACTTAATGACTTATAAGTCCAATTATACCTTTCCCTAAAGTATAACTCACATAGGGGCCAGTTCAGATCCTTGCTGCATTATGGAGCCAGTCACAAACCAGAACGAGTTGTTCAGGCTGAATTGATTCTCCAACTCTTGAACTTCAGAGTCATCGATGCAAGGATACGGGTTGGTCCACTCCTTGGGACTTATCCTGGGGAATAACATTATATGTTACATTTGCTGAGTTTATACTAATTTTTAGGGACAAAAACATAGTTGAGATACACAATAAAATACATTTGCACGTTATAAAACTTATACAAAAACAAAATATATAAATGATGAAAATTATTGTTTTACTGTTTTAGTTGTTTTGTAAGTAGTTTAAAACAATTCATACATGATTACAAACTAATTCTGTGAAAATGTCCCAAAATATTTGGAACTAGCTGCTGTACCCTTGCTTTGCAACGGGAAGAGGTACTATACCGCTTCATCCTAACACGTTTGTGGTTAAGTGGTTTGAATTTATGAACAAAAAGCCACCAAATGTATAAAAAAAGTATGACCTACATTATAACTGTACTACTGTTTACATTAAATTATATCAATAATATAATTATCATATTTTATGGTTATAGAATCTTTCTTTATTTCTATAATCAATGGCATAGTTTTAGAATAAATAATCTATGATAAAGCTTAAGAATAAATAAACCTACCACATTCTGATTCTGATTCTGATTCTGATTCAGTTCTGATTGTTTACATTACAATGTCAACGCAAATGTAAACAAAGATTGTGAATTTTCTCATGCTTCCATGGAGACCGATTAATATTTACTTTTGGAAACTTCACCTCAAAACTTTGGACATCCAAGGGGCGTAACTCGAGAAAAACTTAGGGAAGTGAATTGGCCTATGACATTCCTAGATATGTGGACCATCTTTGTGCTTATTTTTGGCTGTATCGGTTTAGTATTTTAGTCGTGGCAGGGACACAGTCAGAAACCAATCTAATTTTATAATAATAGATTAATAATATTTACCTGGCGATGATGTACATGAGCAGAGACACTCCCACGTAGGCAGCTATCAGGGATTGCCAAACTGCAGTACTAAATGGAGACATGAAGGAGAATAGACTGGGAGACTTCTGGGGCTTCTTGTAGAGAATGCTGATGCCTGGAAAATGAGGAAAATTGTAGTAAAATAATGTACAATCAATAACATAATCTTCTAGGGATTACAAAATGAATTTTCCTATAGGTAGATAGTTTTTATGGTTTTGCCAATCTTTGCCATCTTTCTAGGCAGTCCAGTCAAGATCAAGTCAACTACAGTAAGTCTTCATAGGGCACTTGCCTCGTAAAATTTACATGACTATTCAGGGTATTGGTAGATAAAGTTTTACCTACATTAAATCTATTCTGATAACTTAGAATTATTAGAGGAAATTCGACTTCGCTAAAGTCAATGTCTATGATGATCTAAAATTAAAAAAAAAATTAATAACACAAGATTGAATGATTTTGAATCTCTTACCTAAGTTCATGTAAGGCATTGTGAAGTCTGCATCCTTTTCTCTTTGTCTGGTAATAGTGATGTCAGCTATAGCAAGGTCAGCTTCCTGAGCCACACAATTATAATGATTGATAAACTTAAGAGAATGTTAGTTTTTATACACATATATAAATCGTAGACTAAAATAAATGGTTAAACTTTCTATCAAAAGAAGTATTTCTGTTACTGTTTCTCGATTCGATAACTGCTATTAAACTGTGTAATTATATTTCTAGGAATAACTTAACCGATTTGGAGATTTAAATGTAAAAAGAAAATGATGTTGATTGTAGTCGTATCAGAAAATTTTTTTTACTTTTGAAATACTAAATGTGATATAACACTTTTTTTGCTCTAAGAAAATAAGAAATACTGAAATATACTTGCTTTATTTATGACTTTTCCCAGCATCCCATTCCACTTGCCAGTGACTTTATCTGGGTTCCCGCTGCTCCCATCTTCCTGTTCCCGAAAGGTGTAGTTGAAGCCATTCATCAGAGACAGTTCATGAATCACGTCGATACCCATCCCCTCGTACTTGTCATTGCCGTCCAGCTTCGTGGTTGTCTCCTTCAGCATGGCATGAGGATCAACCTGTTCAGGTAAATTTTGTAAGCAGCATTAATATTAAAGACACAGATAAAACTTGCGTTGAAGGAAACGGATCATCACTATAGTTGACCAGAGGTTTACCATTTGTTTATTTATAAACAAATAGTTTATAAAAAGTAAAACTTTTTGTAACTAACTATTGACTTCAGTGGAAATTCAAATAAATTGCATGAGTTCTCATCACACCATTTGTAGATAGCGCTATTTAGGGTACTTGCGGCACTAGGCCAAATTAAACCCGAGCGGCCCCTTTAGTGGAGCTTCCTGCGATTGTGGTGAAATTTTAAACATTTTCCCACGATGACGGGGACATTATCACCATCTGCCATCATGGCCAAACCTAGAATATCTCCAGCAATCACATCACATCATTGTCAACCATGATTGTGACAAACCATTAATTTTGGAAAATTGAAATTCCATTTTTGTTCTAAAAAAAGTTGTTGTTCAGACACTGCCAGTTATGTTATGTTTTAATGTTTATTATAAAATTTGGGAATCAAGACTCGTTCTCAGGAAATAACTTATACAGTGGTTGTATTCTTTGGTTTGGGGTGTTGCCGTCTTATCTATTTAAAACCCAACTTGGCCATTCGAACAAACTACATTGCAAATATGTTACTTTATATGGCTGGGTTTCTGAAGGGTTACAGTGCTTGCTTGGTAATAAATTAATAGATAATAATAATAATTAATAGATTGCCAATTCATATGAAAATGCAACAGAGCTTTGACAGTATGAAAGTCGGCCCAGTTGACCTTCTTGTCTTGATCATTTCATTGTTCTTTAATAAATTGCTCTAGCTAAAGAACCAGCTGATCATAGTCAGTAGCAAAGCAACGCAATCTTACTGCATTTTAAACTCACATATTCAGCTTAAAAGTAAGTAAACAAAGTGTTTGCTCTTGATTAAGTGGATAAATGTTATGGCTCTTCTAAAGGCACCAATGCACCACTAAAAATATTTCCCCTTTATCTGTCAACAAGTTGGACCAAATATCAGCCTACATACAAAAAATTACAAAAATGTCATTTCACCTACTAAAACAAAAATATGTGTGTGATTTAAAAAATACTTATCTACACTTACCATTGAGATCATAACAACAAAAGTGACGTTTCGAAGATCTTTTTTAGCATTCTCTTCACTTTCAGTATCAAAGGATTGCGTAAAGTTGACTCCTTCTGTAGTGTTCCATGTTCCCTTCTTCATTATACCTTCGGTTGTCAACTCAATGATATCAAGTTTGAAATCTGTTCTGAACCCTTCATGGTCAAATTTGATGAGCCCCGTCATGCCAGTGATTTCAGTCTAAGAACACCAAGAAAAACATTCGTAATCCTTTATAGAGTTTCTAAAGAATCCACACCTCATTCATTTGTTAATTGGGAATGTCACTTATCTAAAATTATTGAATTTGTATTTTACTAATTTATGAGTCAAATTTTCATGCTAAACCTTTAGCTGATTTCATTAAAAATTTTAATTGGGATTGTAATAACCTCTCCAACTATAGGTTGCAAACAAATAACTACCAAACATATTTAAATTATGATACACATGATAAATTTACTACAGTACTGTACCTTAGAAGTTTGATTAGTTATAAAAAATATCTTACTTTGGATTCTCTTCTAAAATTTGGAATACAAGAATGAAAAATCAACTGTAAATTCTTGTTTACTTACTCTTACCCTATGAATCTGCAGAAGATTAATTTGAACACCACACAAATTTGGCTCCTTTATAAAAAATATTCAAATATTTAAGTCAGTTGAAAGGATAATCCAATAGAAAATTATGAAAATCTTTTATTTATGCTATCCTATTAGTAAACTTTGCAGAACAACACAATACTCACAACTTTCATGTAGTTGATGATACTGTAGCCGTGTTCCCAGTTGTGGTTGTTGTCGCAGCTGAGAGGTCTTGGTTGAATCTCTAAACTTTTCAGCAGCTGATCGATCGCTTTGGTGTACAACAAGACTGCATCGTGGATAAGAGCTGTCTCTGCCTACAGTAAAAATAATATTATAGTACCCAGTGGAGGTTCTAGGACTTTGTCATATGGCGAGGGGGAGGGCTTGGAAACATTTAGAACTGTATCCAAAAACCTCTGTTTTAGGACAAAACAATATGTTAACTCTTCCCGGACGGGTGACGAATATATCCGCCTAAGTCTTTGGCGATAAAGAATGGGTGGCGGATATATCCGCTTATGGTTTTTGGTGTTCCGGACGGGAAGCATATATGCCTTCTCTTCAGACGGACTGGCAGGTGCTTGAGCAGTAACCAGATGTTTCACGGTACCAAGGCGCCACTTTCCTGCTCTCTCCATGGCTGCGCTCTCTCCCGCAGTCCCTTCTCTCTCCCGCGCCTCCCATTCTCCCCCGCACCCCCCACCTCTCCTACGCTCCTCCCTCGACGTTTCTCACTCAACACTATGTTATCTTTATTTATTGTTTACATATTGTCTTTATTTATTGCCTAACATTGTCATGGTCATATCTTCAAAGACGGGTGGCAGATATATCCGCTGCTTTTCTACTCATCTGCGTACGGTTAGCGGATATATCCACATAGTTAAAAACGAGTAAACAATTATTTTGACAGTAAGAAGTGTTCCATTGTGTTTATTTTATGTATGCTTGTATAACAAAACACAAATAAGGAAAATTAGTTTTTTTCCTATGATTTTTTCCCGTTCAATGTCATGATTTTGCCCGTCCGGGAAGGGTTAAAATATATTTTTCCAGGGTCCAATGTGGTATTGGTTAGCCCCTTTAGAAACCAAACAAAAACATTTGTTTGGGGGGGGATGGTCCCTTGGAACCACCACTGATAGTACCAAATAAATACAACTAAATAACATTGTTTACTTCTTGAGGAAGAGTAGTTTTAAAACGCAAATTATGGTTGAAAGTAGGTAATCAAAGTGGTAGTCTGTTAAATGGATTAGACACACTTTGTAAAAGGTTTGTTGGTTATTTATAATATTGATATATTTTTTTTTTGTTTATATTCTTTTACAATTATATTATTTATGTTTAAAACACAATTTCACAGTAACTACTATGGGTTGTAATTACCCTTAGTGAAATAACCCCTTTTCCTTGCCTAAAAAATACTAGTTTTAAGTTTATTCTAGAATGTACTGTAGGTTCCTACAGAATTTGAGCTTAATGCTGTATCAATTTGGACCTGCTTTTTAGTTACCTTAACAGAACTTATGGTAAAATTAACACTCCACATAATGTGATGGATTACCAGCAAAACTTCATTGGTGATTTCATAGCCATGTTCTTTCTCTTTGCTCCTCCAAAACGCCATCATTTCTTGAACTTCCTCACTTTCTGGATCAAAGAAGCGAATGCCAGTGATGTTGGTTCCAGCATGCATGAAAGGTTCCAAATCAATTGTCTGGAAATCCTAGTGAACAGACACAATAATTGTATACATGCATGTCTCATGATACAATACTTAAAGTTGAAAGTAACATGAAATCGATGTATGGGTTTTACAGTTACTATTGTATGGCTCCACAAAAAAAAAAAAAAAATCAAAACATTTCCTCATTGCATTTTTATTTGTATCAAAAGGACAATGGATGCATTGCCATTGTGTAACAAAAAAATTTAAACCTTTGGAAGATATTGATGAAAGATAAAACACCTGCAGTATAGAGGTGATGAGATTATCAGTGCAATGTAGAGGATAATCTTTAAAATTATAGTGTAATTCAACAACCTACCAGAGCACCCAAGAGAGAACAACCCAGACTGTTTAACATGTTTGCTGCTGACGACTCCGATCGGAGTCATGCCATATGCCATATGCCATATGTACTGGCACAGCGTGCGTACAACTCTGGTGGAAGTCACAGTTCAGTGCAACAAGTTGATCTAGAGTGACCTCCACATTTATCGGGGATCAACTAAACTGTGTCAGCATGTTGTGCTGGTCCTATTTTAATTTGGTGTATGTTGGGTTTAGGTTGGTAGTAAAATCCCATCTGGCAACGATTTTTTCCCTGTTTTTGGGGATTTTTTATCTTCGAGCCATATTACAAAGATACTGGCTACAGATCCAGGCAGTGCTGCTATCTGTGAGTTTTTCAGTGAACTTGGGGTAACTCAGCACCATCACCGCCGCTGTTTTGGCACTGTCAAAACTTAAATATTTTAATGTCTATTGGGTTTGCTGATTAACTGGTGCGCTGAATCTGCGTCACATTTCCGACCCTCCCGCCAAAGGGATTCTTGCATGTACAATAAAGAGCTAATAACAACAAAGAGACTAAAATAAACAAAGAGCAAATGAGAAAGCAAAAGAGCAATGAACAAAGAGCTAAAATAAGTAAACAAACGTGACCTAATTAAATGTAACTGAGGCATGAATGTTCCATAGAATATTTTAATAAAATATTAACTTCAAAGGTACTATGTTTATTTCTTTAATTCATTTACAGTATTAATAATTCAATAACAAATTTGTTTATTGTCTTTGGACAAGAGGAAAGTAAAGCAACTGATGTATCTAATTTATTAGATAATTCCTTATTTGGTTCAATACCGGATGGAAAACTCATCTCTGTATGCATGGATAAAGTTACTGTGATAGTAAGTGGTTGTGGGTGTGGTAAGTGGTTTGTGGTAAATTTAATGGACAAATAACAGTTTTGTGGATAGATCTTTGTGTTTGTAAAGATAAGTACATTTAGCAATAATTTAAAAGAAGAAAAACAAAACGTAAAAAAACTATTCATAACGCCAGTCAACAAATGACAAGTCATGCTTTTCAACGATATTTCAAGTGCTATTTTTTACTCACTAAAGAAGTAATGATGTAGCTGTACTCAACACCCATCAACCCAACTTGTTGAGCATGTAGAAGTACATCGTATAGAATATTGGCAGAACAGTCCAACACAATGTTTTTCTGATTTGTGTTCTTGATTCTTCTCATTGTAGGCCTACAAAAATCAGTGTAAAAATGGTCTTTACTATTTTCTATGGCACTCAACAAATTGTGATTATTGGTGATGCTGTTAAACATAAAAAGAGATTAAGTAATTCAGCAATGAGCTTCAAAAGTTTAGCAACATAAAAATATTCTCCATCAAGCACAGAAAAATGTTTCCTATCAACACAAGTGTGAAAATCATTCTTTTTTCCAAGATAGATGCAGACAATATATTGTAGGTACAAAATGGTGAACAAAAAGTGTATTAAGCCATACAATTAATTATTAAATATCTATTGTTTACCTATAATTCCCTCCTTCATCCAGTTGTCTTACAGTGACAGGATAGCCTTTGTAGTCGTAATATGTCAGAAGACCGTTAAGTCTGATAAGTCCATCGTTGTCCTCATAAATAACCACGAAACTCTCCCACTCGTACATTTTCACTAAATCTACAAACACCTACAATAATAAGATTTATCATATAATGTTTATAAATAGACACCTTTAATGTTAAAAATTTTATTAAGATATAAATTGAAATAATTTATTCCTTAATGTTTAAAGTAATCACTTTTAGGTATTTCATGAAGTTATGAAATCACCTATTTAGCAATTGGAAAAATGCTAAAACAATATGAACACCTTATACATAGTCTCGGTTTAAACTTATGTATAGCTATAGCTATTTTGAGTTGAGGTGGTTGGAAAATCTTTGTATGCCACTTTAGCTTCTGTCAAGCTATGTATTTTAAAGGACCAAACTGAAGGACCTCTCCGTTGTCTAGAGTCCCATCTCATCTCTACACCATCTCATCTCTACATGAGGTATCTCCATGGCATCACAGACGGATTGTACATGGTCACTGATGTCTACCTCACAAGTCTACTCACCTTGGACATTGTAGAAGGGTGAGGGAACAGGTTGACCAGACAGGAGCCTTTACGTTGTCTTGAGTCCCATCTCATCTCCACATGAGGTATCTCCATGGCATCACAGACGGATTGTACATGGTCACTGATGTCTACCTCACAAGTCTACTCACCTTGGACATTGTAGAAGGGTGAGGGAACAGGTTGACCAGACAGGAGCCTCTACGTTGTGTAGAGTCCCATCTCATCTCTACATGAGGTATCTCCATGGCATCACAGATAGATTGTACATGGTCACTGATGTCTACCTCACAAGTCTACTCACCTTGGACATTGTAGAAGGGTGAGGGAACAGGTTGACCAGACAGGAGCCTCTATGTTGTCTAGAGTCCCATCTCATCTCTACACCATCTCATCTCTACATGAGGTATCTCCATGGCATCACAGACGGATTGTACATGGTCACTGATGTCTACCTCACAAGTCTACTCACCTTGGACATTGTAGAAGGGTGAGGGAACAGGTTGACCAGACAGGAGCCTCTATGTTGTCTAGAGTCCCATCTCATCTCTTCATCATCTCATCTCTACATGAGGTATCTCCATGGCATCACAGACGGATTGTACATGGTCACTGATGTCTACCTCACAAGTCTACTCACCTTGGACATTGTAGAAGGGTGAGGGAACAGGTTGACCAGACAGGAGCCTCTATGTTGTCTAGAGTCCCATCTCATCTCTACACCATCTCATCTCTACATGAGGTATCTCCATGGCATCACAGACGGATTATACATGGTCACTGATGTCTACCTCACAAGTCTACTCACCTTGGACATTGTAGAAGGGTGAGGGAACAGGTTGACCAGACAGGAGCCTTTACGTTGTCTAGAGTCCCATCTCATCTCCACATGAGGTATCTCCATGGCATCACAGATGGACTGTACATGATCACTAGTGTCTACCTGCTACCTCACAAGTCTACTCACTTTGGACATTGTAGAAGGGTGAGGGAACAGATTGACCAGACAGGAGCCTCTACGTTGTCTAGAGTCCCATCTCATCTCCACATGAGGTATCTCCATGGCATCACAGATGGACTGTACATGATCACTAGTGTCTACCTGCTACCTCACAAGTCTACTCACTTTGGACATTGTAGAAGGGTGAGGGAACAGGTTGACCAGACAGGAGCCTTTACGTTGTCTAGAGTCCCATCTCATCTCCACATGAGGTATCTCCATGGCATCACAGATGGACTGTACATGGTCACTGGTGTCTACCTCACAAGTCTACTCACCTTGGACATTGTAGAAGGGTGAGGGAACAGATTGACCAGACAGGAGCCTCTACGTTGTCTATAGTCCCATCTCATCTCCACATGAGGTATCTCCATGGCATCACAGATGGACTGTACATGATCACTAGTGTCTACCTGCTACCTCACAAGTCTACTCACTTTGGACATTGTAGAAGGGTGAGGGAACAGATTGACCAGACAGGAGCCTCTACGTTGTCTAGAGTCCCATCTCATCTCCACATGAGGTATCTCCATGGCATCACAGATGGATTGTACATGATCACTAGTGTCTACCTGCTACCTCACAAGTCTACTCACTTTGGACATTGTAGAAGGGTGAGGGAACAGATTGACCAGACAGGAGCCTCTACGTTGTCTAGAGTCCCATCTCATCTCCACATGAGGTATCTCCATGGCATCACAGATGGACTGTACATGATCACTAGTGTCTACCTGCTACCTCACAAGTCTACTCACTTTGGACATTGTAGAAGGGTGAGGGAACAGATTGACCAGACAGGAGCCTCTGCGTTGTCTAGAGTCCCATCTCATCTCCACATGAGGTATCTCCATGGCATCACAGATGGACTGGACGTGGTCACTGGTGTCTACTGACCGAGGTCCAAACACTCCAGCGACACCTCCTCCCAGCATTTCACAAACTATGGAAACAAGTTATAAATAAAGATAAAAAATTCAGAATTCGTAAATTACAATTTTAATAACTGTATCATACCAAAGTGGCAGTTTATTCTATCAAGGTAAATTCAAAAGTTTATTTTAATAATTCAAAACTCTCACTATACCCATGGGCTTCAGAGGCTTTGCATGAATTGGATCTAGATGATGATTTGAACGATACATTTGAACTTGAAGTAACAGAAACTCAGTAATTCAGTGCCGAGGGTTCACAGTCCACCATCTTCCCTACTCACCACACCACCTTCTCACCCATTATGTATTGCCACTATGTAGTTCCTTGGTTAGAAACATATTTTGTAATGGCTTGCACCACTTGAGTTCTATCAGTTTCAAAAGTTAGCTCCATCTTCTTAGCACATACCTTTTGCTTCCATGTGTTGGACAGTATATTCTTTTATTTGGGAACCTTTTATGTATGTGTTTTACATGATAATGGGTTTATCATGTTCAAAACATGAACAAAAGTGTTCAATTATTTGCTTAATCAATTCATCTGACAAACCCACATAGCTCAAGGATCAAAGGCCCACACTCTACTTCATCATCATCATTTAGCTCTAAACATGCCGAACTACATTTCAAAAACAAAAGACAGCTTGAAAACATTGTTTTCAGGTACCGGTATGATGATAGTTACCTCGTTGGGATACTAAATAGTTGTCAAACGGATCAACATCTTGAACCTCGGGTACCAAATTGAACTGAGAAAGAACATGGTTTTCGTTTACCCATTCTGTAGCATATATGAATGCGTGACGCATAAATCCAGCATCCTCTTCAAATAATCCTCCTAAAAAATAAACACCTTTAATTTGTGTGCAAGCCAATTTGATTCCATATTCAGTTTAGACTTTTAGAAATATACATTTAAAATATGTTTTTGAGTGGTCAAATGTTAGCTGTTCAAATATTTATACTGTCCAAAATGTTCATAAAAATATATTTAGCATATTATTTATTTACAAAAAATTATTCTTAATTCTTAAAAAGTACCTAATTAATTGTTGAAATCACAATATTATAATTTGTTAAGAATTTTGTTAATAATTTCAAAAAAGCTTGTTTATTGCAACTGTCAGAATTTAGCAATGAATACTAATATAAATGTTAACCACTTCATGTAAATCCTGACAAATATTTATTTCTGTTTTGAAGTAATGATAAATAATAAGCCAGAGAATATAGCTACTAGAATATTTTTCACATGTATTTTTGTAAGCCAGTTTTACGAAGTAAACAGTTTTAATATATGTTATAAATTCTTTAAAAAAACCAATAATAACAGGTTTTAAAAGGACCTACGAACAATTGTATTTCCTCAATACAGTAACAATAATATCTACCATCACATAACAATAATTATTTCTGTGGTTATTTTCTCCATCAAACAAGAACAATAATTTTTAAAACAATAATTCCTCCCACAGCCAACACAGATCAACAATCATTTCGACAATCAAACAACCACAAATTGACATTCACAAAAAAAAACATTTTGATAGTCAGACAAAATAGCCCAAAATAATAACATCCCATACTTAATATAAAATAATTAAAGAGAAAGGAACCAAAATAAAATGCTAGTTGTGATGTAATACTGATTGAGTAATATTGTATAAAGTTGTGCGTTGGAAATACTTATATTCAAGAGCCGGTTACAAAATGTAATTAGTGACTTTTTTAGATGTTGATGTTTAATTCTATTGGGAAGACACATATTGTGCAACTCAACCTCCTCGAAATGGACCCGCCTAATTAAGGAGTGCAAAAATAGAACTGTGACGCTCACATCTTATTGTACATCCTACTTGAGGAAGGTTTTGTATAAATTATAGTTTTAAGCTGTTAACTTCATTTCAGAAGTATATACAATGCAGTGTGGGGAATGGTTTGTGTTTGTGTACATGAAATATCCACATTGCAAAATTAATATTTGCATTTAAAATTTGTTTGATTTGGACAATGATAATTTATTTAATGAGGTGAAAGTTTGTAAACATTTTAATTTCAGTTAAGTCCTACTGGCTGGTTAGTTTCCATAAGAAAACACTTCTAATATTAACTGGGATTCTATCAGGCAGTCAAAATCAGAAGACTTACGAAAGTTAACTTACTTAAGAAAGTTACAATGAACGAAAGTACGGTAAAAATAAAAATCTTCTTAGGCTTCATAATGAACTACATAATTAATTTTAAGCTAGGTATTTAAAATGATATACATGGGAAACAAAAATTGAATGTTTTCATTCATACATAGCCTACTTATTTCAGTTACCAATAAAGTTAAATCTAAATATAGTTAACCCATTGAGATTGAATTTTTTTCTTTTTTTTTGTGAGTATAGGTCGCCATTTTCGAGCAGTCGGGGAAATGGCGGGAGGCGACCTATACTCGCCATTCGACAGCAAAAGGCTTAAAGTTAAAAAAAAATTAATTTTGAAAGGTTTAAACAATTTACTGAAACATTGATTCTGTCTTTACATCACCAAATCTAGCGCTTTAAGCCAAGTAAGGCATGGATGGTAAATATAAAAAAGATTCACGATTAAAAAAATTTGATAAACTACCTAACACTACTTTGTTTTACACACTAAAATAATTTACTGTTTAATTTTAATCTAATCAAAGTAAATCGGTATAATTAAAGTTCCACCTTACCTGGGGTAACAAGTTTAAGAAATTTATACCTCAAAATATCTGCTACCACTACTCAGACTGTTTGGAATTCCTAAAATATTGTTAAAAAGATTCAATCTTCAACAAACATATTAGCGGTTCCATGAGATAAAACTTTTCAGTGAGTTTCGCAAAAAAAGTATTTATATGAAATGAGTTTAAGAGAAAAAATATCAAATATTTCTAGAAGAAGTAGTTCCCCAACCCTGAGTATGCATAGATTGTTTGTTGTAGTCGAGAAGTTGTCTAAATAGTTTAGAGTTGTTTATGGCAGTTTGGGCATATTCTTGTCAGCTGAGTTATTTATTGAAACTCTGCTACTTCCACTCTTCCCCATCAACTATCACTCAACACCAGCAAGTTAAACATAAATTAAAACACCTTATGGTACAGATTTTTGCAAACATCTTTTAATACCTATGCTGACCTACTCATCAGATAAAATTAAATGATTACCGGTAATGATTTCATGAGGTTAGAAAATATACTAAACTAGCAACAGAAACCGTTGTGGTTAAATACCTACAATGTTCTCTAGAAATATAAACTGTACTCACTAATAACGGTACAGAACAGACTAAGCATATAACTGTAGAAACACTCACAAAACACAAGAAACACACTACTTAACCACAAATGCAAATTGCAAACAACAAAATGTAAACAAAGAAAAATCTAGGAAATAACAATACAACAATCAGCTGTTGAAATAATCAACACATGTTCCATGTGATCAGATTATGCATACCCATTATGGTACTAATAATCTAAAAGAGAATAAAATTTCAAACAAATCTTGAAAATACTCAATAAAGGCAGCCAAAAGTTGCCTCCAAATACAAAATGTGAAAACTCTCGTTTTCAATGCATTTCTCATGAAAAACTTGTTTTTTTTTAAATTGTTTACCATAAATCCTAGAAAAAAACACTTTTATAATTATATGCAAATCTATAGAGTCAATCTACCAATCTAAAGCTTTCCAAAGACCCATTGAAAAATCGGTTATTTTATAACTGTAGGTTTAGTTGTACAACGAGTTTAAAACTTATTACTTTTTATAACAGATACTTTTTTAAAGTAGCGGAATAACTAATATACAATGCAACAAATTACAAAAAATTAAGTATACAGTTCAACAACATGTTTTTTTTACTTTTAAAACAGCAACATACCGTAATGTTGCAAATGGCTAAGGGCTGTTGCTTTAAAGTTATTTTTGGATGGTTACTTAAAAATACTGTGTTGTATTGGTACATTGAGAAATCTGTCAAATTAGAAAACCTTTGGTAAAATGGTTCCTTTGGTTCACATTTTAAAACTGTCACAACTTTAAAATCAGCATAAAAGTTGATTGTTAGTTAATATCTGACAGTAATAAACCCTGCAAAATATGTCTAGTGTTTATAGTTTTTAGTATTGTTGAATTCACTAACGTTTTAGTAAAATCACTTGTTTAAAAAAGTTAAAACATAAATTTAATTTCTTGTCGAGTTTAGGACAAGCTAAACCTTTTTCATTTATATTTTTTAGTTTTTACTTAAAGATATGAGTTATTAACCAAGAATTAACCAAGAGTCAATAAATATGTTTCCTTTCAGTAAGTGTGTAAAAATTGGTTTGTCACAAACAAATTTAAACAATAATAACAATACAAATCTTATAAAATTTTTATAGAAAAGTAAAATAAGATATTTTAAATTTATAAAATCAAAATATATCCTACAGCAAGCTTTTATGAATGTTAACAAGCAAATTCCATAAAATGAAGTAAAATTATATCGTAAAAATTTGAATTTTCTTTTACTCACCAATTGTAAGGTTTTCCTTATGGTCATTCCTCGATTCGACCGAAGTAAACAGTAGAAACAACAAAAACCACATGTTGGCAGATACACTCACTTAAAAATCACAATTGAAAAACATTACGTTAATTTTGAAAGAGAATACTTGACAAATGTTGCACTATACTATTGACAAAAGCCATACTGTTAAGATCCTAATTAATTTTCTTCTTGCATTGAGAACTTAACATACACAATTTTAGCTAAAAGTTGAATGTTGTGGATGCGAAATCGTTTAAATTTGGACGTCGGAGAGACACTGGCGAGCCATGACAGCCCAAGCAAGCTATTTTCAACAGCCAACCTGTCCAAGTAACGAATGTTTGTCTACTTTTCTTCTGCCTCTCACCCTATTTACTTTAGTAACTTGATGATGGATGAAGGCCTTGTGAAAATATAATGGCTTATAATGTAAATACCTTCTCTGGACTTAACTACAAACAAGTATACAAACAGCTTGATGAAATAGAACTACCCTTTACAAAGGGATGAAAAGAAAAATCAATAAATTATAATACAGCTTTTAAAAAATATTCCAATCTTTTGAGCAAAATAAATAAAAGATATATTTATAACATTAGAAATCAAATTTGTCGTCAAATTTAATCTGAAATATATTCTGTCCTGTTTCAAATTATTCCTTTCCAATGGTTACACAAGAGTTTTTTAAAGGAACTAAATAGATAAGTCAGGGAAGTAAATGCAGTCATACAATTTATTGTATTTAGATTTCCCAACAATTAATAACTAAAGACGGAAAGATCTGGTAGGGTCTGAGTTTTCTTCAGAAGTATTTTCTTCCGATGGTGTTTTTAGTTTCTTCACAGTGCCTTTACAGCTGATCACAAACTTCAGTTCTCGTTTTAATTCATTCCAAAAAGGTCCCTAAAATATAACCAAATTAAATAAGTCATTCACTTAAGTCTTAAACATGATATGTATACTATACAATTTCAATTTGCAATAGAATCTAGAGAAGGTCACAGTACATAGATGAAAGTTAATACATCAAATATTTAATAATATAAGAAATATGAAAAACTCAACTAACCCATGGGGTGTCACACAATTAATAACTAATTGAAACAATATACAGTATCACATTATTTTCCTAAGTAGGAAGTAACTGGTTATTTTAGTAACTTAAACTATAGTAAAAAGTTATCTTCAAAAACACTCTCTCATGATAAAATATTATTAAAACTCAACCCTTTAGAACTCCAGGGATTATTTAGTAACTTAATTTGCTTGTGGTATAAAAGGTGGTGTGACAACAGGACTGAATTTGACCTGGTCCGTTCTGGGTCCGCAGGCGCAGCCATGCGGATAATTTCAGGGGTGCGACATTAGGACTGAGGGAGATCTCCCTCACCGCGTCGGTTTCTTCCCGTTCTCCCGCGGCCAGCACCCTTCTTCCTACCCTCACAGACACAGGCAAGAGAACTAATCACCTAATGGAGTCGTTCACTAGGTCGCTGAGAACGCATCACCTCATGGAATCGTTCACCTAATTGCTGCGTCGTGTTTTTGAGAGAACTCGACAGTGCAGCATATTCTTTCCAGTTCAAAACTAAAATGTTTAATCACTCTAACAGTTGTTATATCCATTAAATAATGAATAAAATATAGGCTCTATTATTTAGTAAGTTACATAATGTATAGTGAATGGAAAAACGAGGAGTAAATTAAAAAAGCTGTTTAGTTGTACACTGTCTTAAATATTAAAAAAAAATTGGCTATTATTTTCCGAATTCGTTTAGCTCTTCTACCCGACCGATTTTCATGATTGAGGTCTCAAATTGAAGGTATGCACGCACAGATTTGCCATCAAGCATTGGCATATAATTATCTATAGTCTCACTCGGTCTATACGTAAACGAAATTTGCTCTCCATGTATTTCTTATAGGAGTAAAATTTGGGTTCTCTTTGCCGAGTTCTAGCTCTTCTACCCGACCGATTTTCATGATTGAGGTATCAAACTGAAGAAATGCACGCACAGATTTGCCATCAAGCATCGGCATATAATTATCTATTATCCCACTCGGCCTACACGTAAACAAAATTGCTTCCCTTATATTTTTATGGGAGTTAATTTAGGGTTTTCTTTTCCGAGTTCGTTTGGCTCTTCTACACGACCGATTTTCATGATTGAGGTCTCAAAATGAAGGCATGCTCGCCAATAATTGACAACTGTATTACTCGACAAAAAACATAATTTGATATATTTTTGAGTTCTTACTACAATTTATGATGTATTTCACGAGTTACTATACAATCCTATATATTTTAGTCTAAGAACCTCCAGTGAAATACCGCCTTTCATTTAAGCTATTATTTATTCAAATCGGACGAGTTTAAAGCAAACGTAAGGTGAACAACCAACAGAAATATTATTTTCCAAAAGGGTTTTCTATGATTAAAATCAATAGCTCCAGTATTGTGCATGTTTTTGTACATGTTTAAAACTAAAAACAATTAGTAAATTATAGGCTTTAATTTGAGCTATTGATCGTTTGAATCAGTTAAGCTCAAGATACTGTGTTACTCAATCAAAAATCATAAATTTGATTATATCTCGGATATTATATCTATCTTAACGCTGCGGAGCAGCATGGGTCCTCTAGTTTACTATTATTTATAAAATCGTTACTTGCATTAAAACCAGCTCAGTTTGAACAAACAAATACATTTAAATAGGGTATACAGTTTACCCAAAGACACTTTAAACTTTCACTTAACACTTTTTAGCCGGGGTATTTTGCATGTAGACCTAATGTGAATTTAGGCTTTTCATATTAGTAAATTTATGAAAATTTAATGTTCGTCATGGGCAATATACGCGTTTAAAAATAGTTAAAGATATGAAAGTAAAACCTAAAATTAAACTAAAGTAATTATTAGGTTGTTAGTTAATTTTGTAGTACAGTGTTAAATTGTACTACTGTATTGATATAAGGAGTAAAGGTGTTGTTGACGTTAAGTCGTATTAACTGGGTTTATTTATTTAAATAATGCCAACTTTAAATATTTGGTACAACTTTCAAGCATAGAACTCACTACTGTGGACATACACCAACAACGCTCTGATTTTTGTTTCAGTACAGTGTGGTATTGTTAGTTTGTGGAACGCATCTCACGAACTCCCTGGATTGCGGCAAATGCAGCTCTTAGAATTAAAATTTGATGTCATAGGGTTTGTTGTGGACGGATACTGATCTGTTATTTTCTGTGAACATATTTCAGAAAGTTCATTGGCATTGGTGTTGTAGTACATAAATTATTTCTCAGCAATCCATTACATACGACCTAATAGCTGGAAGGTCCAGATTACAGAACATTGGGAACTATGAACAGAGGAAAGGGAATGTGTGACCCTTCCTGGAATTCCTAGCTCGACGCAGACGTTTCTCTTTGTTAACTATGCATCAGGTGAACGGGATGTTGGTAAATAATCGAAAATCTCAATAACTAACGGTACCAAATGTTGTCATGGTGAAGTGTTGTTTAAGAAATAAAACATTTCTTTACTGACACTAATATATTTCAATCCTCCAGCAGTGCTTGCTAAACAGAGGATGAGGATACTGTCCATCACATTGCTAGAACTTAAGTAAAAAAATATTTATACTACTTGAATTTACATGCTACATCAGTGACACACTTTTGATTGTCATTTATATATTTAAATAAAAAGATACATTTATGATATTATACCATAGACTAACGTTCCAAACAAATTAAAATATTGTAATTTTAAATTTCATGTAGTTTCCTGCTTCAACGCGAGGTCCGATATAAATTGTCGTTTTCATTCGTTTATGGTTTTCAATTTCGATAACTTGAGTGGAGTGATTGATTACATCATCTTTGAGTTGACTCTTTCAAGTCATCGGAAATTATTACTGTTATTCATTTTGAAATAATGCCTGAAATACTTTGCAATGCTCGAATACGAGCAACAGAAGCACTAGTTTAAAATAATAGTTGTTAGCGCTGCAACGCGCACCCGTAGAGTATTATAGGCCTACATCGATGCGCGCACCGGGTAACTGCTAGTAATACATAAATATTTAAACAAAAACTGTATGGATCATAAACATAAATAAATGGTGTCGCTTGCCGAAATGTAATAGTAATTTTCATTACCCTACACACGAAAGTACCTACACTTTTTGAGGTCGATTCACACATAACAGTTACGACACGTCACAAATCAGATATATCAGTCACGTCACAGTTAGCCAAAATATTCTTTAATGGATTTTCTATTGCTTTATATACACTCATCCGGCGCAAATCCGTCAGTCGCTCTCTCGGCGTCCGTCAGTCAATTCCAGATTTCTTTCTACCGACATTTTTGGTTTTCGGCCTCCTGTCGGACGTGTTTGAGTTGAGATTAGAAAAATAGTGGGGTTTTTCATTTAAATTACCGAGTTTGTATTTTAAGTACTGTTTGTAACAATGGACAAGATTTAGGATGAGATTTTGATAGAATATTAAGTTTTAATTTACCATTTTTCACTGTAACATCACTGTAAATATAGTAACGCAAGTCCGACTGAAACCAAATGAATGACCCTGACAATCCACAACACATTAATTTATGTTACAGTCGATGGTAAAATTACTCGTTCCTATACTCTATACTTATATAATTTGACTGAGAAATTTTGGATTCAACTGAGACTGAACTGTGACTGGTCTGTGGTGGAACTGTGACGGAACTGATATAAATGAACTAAGAAAATACAGTAGGTTATTTCCGCTACTGCAGCAAAATTACATAACGTTAACTTTCTGTGCATTTGTGGTGCACGGAACGTAACCGGTATGGGATTTTGCTGTGCAGACCCCATATTGAATAAACAAAGGTATTCGTATTGTTTACAAGTTTTTCGATATCGTAATGAAAAATAATGTTAAATACTCATCTGAAAAGTGCCATTGCGGGTTCGAAAGCTTTTTCCAAACAAATAAATCTGGCTAATAATTATCATAAAATTTGGTAACTTATGGATGATAAGCATAAACAAATGACGGAACTGAACGAATCTTATACTAACTAGCAACACCGGGGGTGTTAGAAACTCTTTGCCATATTCTCATAATTGCTTGTTTCCTCTATGACATTTGTATTTGGAATGATTTAACTAACATCTGTTATATTCTTTGTTTTTTTAAATATACACAATTACAGTCTACTTAAAGCCCATTAATTATTTTACCCACGACCGTTTTTTAAAAGTAACCATTTCAGTTTAGTTCTCAGAATTGAAAAGTTTCACTTAACAGCTGTTTACTTTCATAACAGCATATTTCATTTCATAACAGCATAGTTTTTCTCATAACAACACGGGTAACGGACCAATGAGATTCAAGGATTGAGAGAAAAGAAGTAAAATTGTAATGTTTCGAACGTCAACTAATCAGCTGATCAGGATTTTATTCGTTGTAACAATTGACGTACAACACTTTGTTTTAGTAAATACACTTGTTAGTAAGCGTATTTTTAAACATAAAATCATAAAGGTCTCAATGTTATATTTCAATGAGTGCATCGTCATTACTTTTACACCATCCTAGGTAGCCTAAATAAGTGTTTACAATCTGAGTTAACAAAGCAGACTTTTGAATCAAGTCAAGTGGTACGGTTGAATTTCGTATCTAAATAAAATGGGTGATCAAACAACCATTTTACGGCATTTTAAAGGAACCAAAATTGTCTCTTCTGAATCTTGATCTCGTTGCGAGGCACTGGAATAGCGGTTAAATTATATTAATAAAGACGAATGCTAACAAGGGAACGACTCCATGAGCCGATCCGTTCACTATCCCACTAGTTCACTATGTGTCCGGGGGTAGGGTGATGGGAATAAGGCAGGGAGAACGGGGAGATTCCATTCAGTCCTAATGTCGCACCCTCGCATTATGACGCACGACTGCCCCAGAGGGCTCTGGCTGGCCCAGGTCAAATTCAGTCCTGTTGTCGCTTTACCGGTATAAAAATCTAAATTATTACAAAACAATGTTTTGGTTCAGTAAGATACCTAGACAAAAAGTAGCAAACCGCTTGAGTTTACGTGCAAAACACAAAGAATTCACCCATCCTGGCAACTTCAACCTGAGTCAACCAACCTTTAATGTACGTGGGACTCTGCCTCAGAAAGCACTTTACATGAGTTGCATACCCAACCTGACTCAGATGTCATTTGAACCCTCATTCCAGCGGAAAAACAATGTTTTAGCTCGACCATCGACGAGACTGCCCTCTGTTGGACTAACAGTATTGGTTGCCCCAAGCGTAATAGTTAAAAACATGACCCCCAGGTCATAGCACATGTTAGGTTTAGAGCTTTCTGCTGGTTTAGTTCAGTTATACTTATATGGATGTAAGTGAAAGTTAGTTATGTTAATCTAGCACCCTATGGACTATTGGAGCTTGAAGAGCTAAGTAAATCATAGAAAAATAGATTTAAATTAAATTACCCTATCTTCCTTCATGAAGACCTCAAACATCAGTTCTCCCAGAGATAAGACCCCAGCAAGTAATGTTCCAAACACCAGCACTAGGAACACCCCACCAACATTGTCCAGATCCAATGGAACTGCGTCTGCTCCATCCCCATCATCCTGCCAAATAAAAGATATTTTTGCAAAAGATATAATATATATTTTTATCTAAAATTTCACTTTTATTTAAGAGGTTCCAATTTCAAGCTCAATTCTCAAGGTCTTTTCAAACTAGATGATAGCATAGACTGGGATGGTGGCTTCGTCCTTTAATCCAGCTACTATAGGAGGTCACAAATTGTGAATATTTATAGGCATGCACTTTGTATGCGATACTTCCTAGTGTGGATTAACGTCCGCACTAGTGAGTACTACGACTATCCGCAGTACTATCCTGATAATTAGTCCAATTCGTTAATTACAAGGCATAAATGTGGTTCAGATTCCACTATAAAAGGTCCCTTAGTTGCCATTGGCTGTATATGGGATATTAATTAACAGCTGTGTCTAAGGAACAATTTGGCCTTAGTCACTAACAGGACTATAAGATTGCGCCACTCATCCTACACTCATCTCCATTCATACTTGGCTTATAATACCTACATTCTTATGGTCGCCATTTCAGATTAAAGTATTAGGTTGAGCGGTTTTAGAGAAAAGAAGTCCCAAATGCCAGATAGGTAGTCCTCATACTATCTTCCTTGATGGTGCAATAAAGGGTATTACTAAATTCCTCTATGAAAAATTGCACACCGATCTACTCTCTAGGTCTAGGTCATGGCTATATAGGTTGGGTTTATGATTTTAAATTATCTTACTTTTTCTCCATCAAACAACAATAGCCCCATTACAAAGCTCTGTTGGTTTTTTCCACTTAAAACAGGTTGATAATTTGAATCTGAAATTTTCTCTGATGCTCTGTGACCAATATTTACAATGTAAAAATCATAAAAAAACTACACCATGTGCTGCATAAAACTATGACAATCATGCAAAGTAATGTCATTGACTGTATGAAAATCGATATTTTCTATAGTTTTCTTTATTTTACTACTTTTTAAGACACAGTACATCTTGTCTGTATGGACTAACTTAAGCAATTTTTATTAAAAAAGACATAGGTAAATGAGCCTCTGGTAGAAGGTTATTGAATTATTTTTCTTCTATAAGGATGTTATTTAAGGAGTCATGAAATGTGGTATAAGTCTTTTCAGTATGAGATAGTTGAAATGTTAGTTTATGAGAAAGAAAACTGTATTATACATCTGTATTATACATGGTAATAGTACGTGGTAATAGTAGTAGAAACAATGTAACAATGGTAATGTAATAGAAACAAGTACAGTCAATGTTTTACTTACATTGCATGCTCCTCCACCTCTTTTTTCTCTCCACCATTTTTTATAAAGCTGAGTGAATTTTCCTTTTTCTTGCAACTTTATAACACTGCTACTTAGAATATTTCTGTACCAAGCACCTAAAATCCGATACAGCCAGTAAGCCAAATGTTTTGTCTACATTATTGCAGTAGGCCCCTACCTATGTGTAGTGTACTGTAGGTGACAACTTCACTATGTAATGGACAATTTATTAATCACGCAAAGAAATAAACCTATGTGATTAAAGAACGTTTAACTCAAATTTCATAATTTTTATTGTTCCAATTTTCCTAAATGTCATATTTAGTTTGACAAAAAATTTACAACTGTAAACCATTGTTTTATTTAACATCTCCTTTGGGACTGCAATGAAATACACATAGTTACACAATATGTTTAGCAAAAAAGAGTGGTATACTTTTGTAGTTTGTTACTGACCAAGATCTGCTGATTCTTTAGCCTTAATAAGTTACTACATCCAAAGTTCAAGGGCAGAAGACACAAGTTTCTAACCATAAAAAGATTTTTCTTGCGTTTTTTTGATCAGTTCATTAGATATGAATTACATACATAGCCTTGAAGATAATAATATAAGAGCCTGTTCTAGCTAAAGCCAACAAGTTTACAATTTTATTGTTTAAGTTGTTGTATCCACTCGTTCTTTGGCCAATAATCCTAATAATCTACATTGGTACTACTGATTTTTTTGAGTTTATAGCTGCATATGTTGCCTTTTTTGAATTTTTGGTACATTTAAAGCACACCTAATCAGCAATTAATGCTTGTATGACTAGATTGTAATTGTTAGTGCATTTTCTGTGCTCTTGCATCCTGTTATTCTATCACACGAGTCTAGCCTTTGAAAACAACTTGTTTGTGAATGAGGATCAGTATTCTTTCGCTTTTCTATATATAAAAAAAAAAAAACTTACCCTTAGTCATGACAATGCCGTAGCCCTTGCTGTCCAGAGGGTTGCCGACCTGCCTCAGCTCACAATGCCGCTGCACCTCGTAGTCTATAGAGGCAGACTCCATCAGGAAGGCATACTCATCAGCATCGCTCAGCACTCTGTCTACACCGTCACGGTTAGACTTCATCATCACGTCGTCATAGTTCTCCTGCATGTACTGCCACATCCTCTGGTATGTTGAGTGATTTGATGACTGAACAAACCTTGATTTAAATGTTTGAAGTTGAGATCAGTAAACTAACAATGTTTAAAGTTGATTGGTATGATTGAAATATTGCGTGGGGGTAGCTATCACAAGAGCAAAATCACAACTTATCTAGGGACTAGGCATTAATGCTCGACTACAAAAAATATGGGATTTACAGGTAGGATACTGTGCAGGCTTGAATGTGTCATTTGTGAAATAGTTACAATGATGGGAATAATACCAATGATAATAAAAAACCAATTAAGAAAGAGTCCGAAGGTTAATTTTGTTGTTCTTTGAACAGTTGAGATGAGGCAAAAAAAGAACAAACTATTCTTAAAAATTTGTAAAAATAGTTGCAAAACTAAGGACAGCAAAAAAACAACGTTCTAAGCCTTCTTTCACACCATAGCGGTGCGGGACCGTCCCGTACCGGACGAAGCTGTTTAGAATATTGAAGTATGATATGAAAGCTTTCACACCAGTGCGGATTCGCCCAGACAGAACTAACCCTCTGAACAGGCACAAAAACCACCCGGACAATCCTAATTTCCAATATGTGACAGGATCGGATGGTAATTTTTTAGAACATTTTGGCTCTTATGTATGCTTTCCCACGTGTGTTCCAGGCTGGATCCGCCTGGACATAAATCAGTAGTTTTAACAGTCTGGGTCTATCAGTGGTTGAGTGTGCTTGATTTTGCAATGTACAACGTATATTCTTTTGGAATACAACTAGTAAAGCATTACCATCTTTCTTTTATTAATTTAAATTTCAAATACACTCAAAAAGCACAAAATTTTATCCTGGAAACACCCGCATCTGGGCAGCTAGTGTGAAAGGTCGTCTGCATTGACGATACGGGAAGGGCCCGCACCTGGAGTGAAAGAGGCCTTGGGATTAGTTGATTCTAACGTTAAAAAAGGCAAAATTTCACATAGTATAAAAAATAGGAATAAGAATTTCGGGCTTTTTAGTTATTTCAGGATTTAATTTGTTTTAAGAATTGTAAGCAAGATTTTTGTTTTATTTGTTTATGTATCTGGCATAGTATACCTCAACCTAAACTATTTTTACAGCACAAGGAAAAAGAAATAATGTTAAAGAATTTAAGAAAGAATCATGATGTAAAACTGTATGTTAGATATGTAGACGACATTCTTGTTACCTTCAGACAAGTAAAAACACGAAACAATGATGCAGAAATACGGAGTTTCTATAGCCTACAGGACTCAGAACACCATGAGTAAAATACTGCATCCGAAAATAGAAGATTGTAGGTAAGAAATTCAACACTTCGGGCATCTATAAAATCAATTGTAAAGAATTGTGATAGCTTCTACATAGGACAGACTGTGAACTTCGTTAACCGCTTCAAAAACCACATATCTGTGTGGAGGAAAAACAAACCGGAGAGATCAAATGTCACACAACACCTGTTACAAAATGGCCACGCAATAGGAAAATGGGAGGATAGTCTATGTATTTTAAAGAATTGTAAAAAAAGATATGTAATGAATGCTTGGGAAGAATTGGAAGAATAAGGAAAAATTTAAAAATAGAAATAAGCTGATTAATGAACAAGTAAATTTCGACTCCAGAAGTTGTACTTATAAAAATGTATTGGCCGGTGCTTATGGTAGCCAATAGGATATAAGTAGGGACACCATTCAAGATTCTTGTCATTCGCCTATTGGGTCTGATGATGATTGGAGTGTCCAATTGAAATCGACCATTACTTACCATCCGTTATGTACATTTACCGTCTTGTGAGTAAAAGTATAAGCGTAAATATAGGTTTTAAGTGTCATAGGACGTTTCTTTTATTTTCTTTCCGTAATTTTAATTATCTGATGGTAAAATACTTCTTGCCAAAAACGTGGTTGTTCATCACTCAAGTATGTTACCTATTTCCTTTTTAAAATAGTTACTTCAATGTGAGCTAATCATTCACTTCACTACAAAAAGTACTTTAATAGTAAACAATATAAAAACTGTTGTTAAAGCAAATGTACTTTTTTATGACCTGAGTTCTCTACCTTAAAGAATCCCTCAGTTGCACCACCAGCCTTGGCACCATACTTGACAAACACAGGAGCATTAGGCTTCTGATTGGCCAGCTCCTCTACATTGCGGAATATCTCTTCGTTCTGCTCTACTGTGAGGAAGGCGGCCAGGTTGGCTGTGTAGGAGGAGACGATGATGAGAGTGAAGAACCACCACACAGACGCCAGCATGCGAGTGGATACTGAACTGGAATTTCACAATTTTTTTTTCACTAACATGGAAATACTCATAAAAATGTTTATAAAGATAAGATGTACTAATAAAACAAAAGTCCTAAAGAAGGGTGTAGAGATTTGTGCTCTGGAAGATTTAAAGATTTTATTTTTATGACAGTCAATTGAGGGAGCTTTTATAAACCTCTCAGTCAAAACTGTCTCTAAATGTAATTGTTTTTACCTCTACTTATATGAGCTTATGGAAGATTAGTTTCTTAATCCATATATGGTTAAGTACTTAAATTATCATGATTTTAATGAACGGTATGGGCTCATCTTTTTTTCACACTATATGGTCCACTGCATGGCTTAATGCCTAGTCCATAAACCATAAGGGTCACCAAGGTGTCTCAATTCATACAATAATAATCAATGATTGAAGCTACATCACTCTCAAAAGTCATCCACTCACATAGGGGCCAGTTCAGATCCTTGCTGCATTATGGAGCCAGTCACAAACCAAAAAGAGTTGTTCAGGCTGAACTGATTCTCCAACTCTTCTATTTCGCCCTCATCAACACATGGATAAGGGTTGGTCCACTCTTTTGGACTTATCCTGGAAAGGTAATAAGATTATGTCCAAACGATTCAACGGTATTAAATAGGAACCATACATTACCATACCATACCATAGGATACCATAGGAACAGTGACATTTTGTAAATAAATTATTTTTAGATTTTAAACTAGCCATCGTGGGAAAAGACATTGCTCATTGCCATTGCACGCATTTAGGATCTACAGACATCATAAGACTGAAATAAAAATGTTGACCACTATTTAAGTTGCATATATGATAAATCAGTTTAACCATGTACCATCATGTTAATCTAATGAGCTTGACACATTTGGAGGGTTCAATTAGTTAAAAGAGTTTAATTATGTCTATAAACATTGCAAAATAGTCTCAATTAATACCTGGCAATTATATACATGAGCAGAGAGATCCCAACGTAAGCAGCCATCAGCGCCTGCCACAGATCTTTGCTGAACGGAGACATGAATGAGAACAAGCTTGGAGACTTTGTTGGTTTTTTGTACAAAATACTGATTCCTGAAACAAATGTTACTTTTATTCACCATACTAAATTCTGAAAAAAGAAATTACATTATTATTACTAATTCTTGTAGAAATGTATACCCACTAAGCATATTATAGTTGGCTCACCTAGATTCATATAAGGCAAAGTAAAGTCAGCATCTTTTTCTCTTTCCTGGGTTATAGTAATATCTGCTATTGCTAGGTCAGCTCTCTGTAATCAAACATACCATAAATTAAATATAAACACTAAAACATTTAGGGGATCTTGACATTTATAAGAATATATGTTACCCTTTTCAGCAATGCGCTACTTCAAAAATAGTACTTTAAGCATGTAAAACTAATTGTTTTGTTGAAATTTAGCATAGGAAAACATTCTATCCCCTAATCTTGAGTGTCTGTAATTCAGGTAAGAGGTAAGAGTGACAGTCGATTGAGCTGATGTATTTATTTTGGCTTGTTGGTGCTATGTTGAATTCTAAAGCTGTATCCAAATAAATGCAACTATCATCACCAGAAATTGAATTTTGGGATGATTAAATCTTTTTGTTTTGATCAAATTGTTGTAAGATCTGTCTCATTCCTGGAGCAGTGGTCATTAAAAAATAGTTGAACCTCTATAAGACGAATTTCAAGGGGTACGGGAAAAATTCATACTATAGAGGTATTCTTAATAAAGAGGGTCGTTTTATCGAGGTTTAATGCTGCTGTTATTCTTCTTATAGAGGTTTCTCCTCGCTCCAAGGTTTCTCCCAACAATGACTGAAGAAGGAGGAGGGATGGGTGGGGGTTTCATGTTGAGACAAGCTTCTGTTTGTTTTGAAAACTACGTACTATGGAGGTTAAGATTACGATAAATTCGTCTTAGGTCATGTTCGTCTTGTAGAGGTTTTGTGCTAAGAATATTCGTTGAATAGAGGTTAATCAGTCCTAGCCCATGTCACAAACAAATTCGTCTTATGGAGGTTTTTAACTTAATTACTACGTTGTATAGAGGTGTTTTTAGCATTGACCTATATGAAAGTGTCAAGGGGATTAAAAAAACTTTGTCTTATCGAGGAATTTGTTTTATCGAGGTTCGTACAAACGAGGTTCAACTGTAGTATATTGCAACAAATTCCTATTTACTTTTTAAAAGCGGTCTAATACCAATTTTAATTTACAACTAATTGATTGTTGCAGCCGCTCTTCATCAGATAACACAATACAATAAATTAAAACTTATTAAAACCCTTCTTAAGGTGTACTCTCTCTTGTTCTTTTTACTCTGAGGCGTTAAGTGAGGAAATTGAAAGGTGCACTGCTATGCCTATAGCCATACAAACAATCACTTTAAAACCTCTTTGGTATTATAAGATGTAATTGCTGTATTATTTTACTGTCTAAATAAAATACTGGATTTTATTAACTTTCACAAATAATGCACAGTTTGAAAAAATCCTATGTACTATGGTTTAACCTTTTCTACAGAATATTTTGAAAATATTCCATTACGATTACTAAAAAACATTTTTCATGACGTTTTGGAATCTGAAATGCGCCCTGTGCACGCATGAGAAAGTATTCAAGAAATTTTAAACTCTCTCCTGTCAGATTCCAGACCTTGAATGTTGTGAAAACATTGTTCTTCACTATTAGTGATGAAAAGTGTCCGCAATATTCTATTAGATAGTGTGAACTAACCATAAAAAAATGAACTTAGAAAAAGACTAGATGGCTTAAAATTTTCTTCTTACGGTCCCACGTAAAAACAAGAGGGAGTTGTTGATTCATATGTTCAATTTAACATTCACCTACCCCAGAGATGACCTCTCCGATCATTCCGTTCCACTTGTTGGTGACAGGGTCCGGGTTGCCGCTGCCCCCCTCCTTTTGCTCTCGGAACGTGTAGTTGAAGCCGCACATGAGAGACAGTTCATGTATCACATCTATTGCCATCCCCTCATACTTGTCATTACCCTCCAGCTTGGTGGTTGTCTCTTTAAACATGGCATGTGGGTCTATCTGGAAACAAATCAAATATAGTAATAAAGGTAGATTTCACTCCTTTGTTAGTGCCGTTGTGATGTAATTGCTGACATGCCAATGTATTTATGAAAATATTTTCTGGCATCTAGAGTTCTGAGTTCTTTAGTTCTTAGTTCTGTCAAAAATACTTTAGCGCGGACATGGGTATTATTTCAAGCATTTACATTAGTTTAAGCTCATTTGCTGCGACCCATCAATGGCAAGTGTAGCCCCGGTGTGGCGAATGAACCCGATTGCCTTTCAAATATTTCGGTCTGATGAATAGCAAATAACGTGCGGTAATGTGCTGCGTTATGACGAGAGTCACACCAACGGATAGCAGCACTGCTTGGAACTTATAGGTACTTTAATACTTTCTTATGAAATGGCGACCATACAAAGTAGGTATTTTAAGCCAAGTATGAATGGAGATGAGTGTAGGATGAGTGGCGCGATCTTGTAGTCTTATTAGTGACTAAGGCCGACATTCCTTAGACACAGCTGTTAATTAATAGCCCATACAGCTAATGGTAACTAAGAGACCTACAGTTTATAGTGGAATCCAAACCAGACTTTTGCCTCGTTATATACGAATTGGTCTAATTATCAGGATAGTACCGCGGATAGTCGTAGTACTCACTCGTGCGGATGTTAATCCACACCAGGGAGTATCGGATCCACAGTGCATATCTATAAATATCCACAATTCGTGACCTCCTAGTGGCAGTATTACAGAACGACGCCACCCTATCCCATTGTATTGCCAATTTTACGGGGAAATTTACTACCAACCTACACGCCCACAGTGAAACAGCCGGGTGCTTTACAGCACACCATGTGTCACCGGGGACCCAGCCTCAGCGACTGTGTTAACTCAGAAAGTGCCAAATATTTCATAAAGAAAAATTATATGGAAGACATTTTAAAACAAAAATATCAAGAAACCATACAAATATTAACTAATCTTCACCCAAAGTTGGTAAAAGTGGCCAAATATTATTTGTACTAAACTTAAGCGAATTGCCTCTATTGTAAAATTGTGACATTGGCAGGACTCAACTTGAGGATGTATGCAGTGAAGACACGTTCTGTGATGACAAAAATTCTATTTCTTACAATGGGAAAAGGGGGAATTAAGATAGGAGGTATTGTATGCTACACAGCTATTTTTGTGACAAACATCCCTTTTTTAAACGTTGAAGGACTTAAGTGATTTTAAGTTAGGTTTGTGATACTGTAATATTTTATGCTACGCTTACCAATGATATCATGACAACAAAAGTCATGTTTCTCATTTCCAGCTTAGTAGCAATTTCACTTTCTGTTTCCAAAGTCTGCGTGAAATTCACTCCTTCCGTGGTGTTCCAAGTTCCTTTCTTTTCCAGACCTTCAGATGTGAGTTCAATTACATCCAACTTTATGTCTGTTCTGAAGCCTTCATGGTTGAATTTGATTAGGCCTGTTAATCCGTTCATTTCACTCTGAAACATGTAAAGTTATAACTTTTCTAGCTAATTATAAATTGATTTTAATTTAGCGGGTAGTCGAGTCGTGTGTGATAATGAAATAAAAAAAAAAACATCCTCTTCCATAACTTTAGATAACATATTTAAGCAATGCTCACTCCACTGTGGTGGATCTAAGATGATAGGCGAAGAATATGAGGTACTTTGCTACTTATAATTATCTTCCAGTCCAATAAAGTCAAGAACTTGTAGAAATTGCTTGGAGTCAATATCATATAGAAAAAATATTATAAAGTTTATTTAACTTGTCCCCTAACTACTGGTTGTAACAATAAAACCAATATACTTGATTTATTGGTTTTGGAAAATCCCATGTGACCTCTTATAGTAACAACTATTAAGATGAAGAGGGAATGTGAGAAACTGAAATGATCGGAAATATTGTGAGTTGCCAAAGTTGGTCAAAGTAAAAAATGGGGTTTAGTACCAATTAATTGAAGTGAAGTTTATGGCTCAGATCTGTACATGTAATAGAGGATCAAGAAAAACAAATGGTGAACTGATACTAATAATTTATTATCGGTGGCATTGGGACGTGATGAAGCCACACTAGCTTGGTCAGGGACTTAGATGGTTCCAAGCTAAACAGCCACTTACCAGATTTTATCTCACTGTGTTTTTCTTTATAGGCCTATATGAAATTAAAGTACAAATAGTGAAATATACAGGGTGAATAAAAAGTCAAGACCCCCCCCCCCTCTAATATTTTTCCTAGTAAATATACAGAGATATCCTTTTGGTGGTCGAGCAATCTTAGCAGGAAGTTTCATTTTATCATTTTGAAATTTTTGAGTGTCCCCCAAAAAGGGGGGATTTGGGGGGCAACTCAAATATTTTAAATGTAAACCCCATTCAAGTGACACCTCATTTTGAAGTGTTTACAAAAACTTAAAGAATGGTGAAAACTAGAGGTCGCTATCTCTTCTCTATCCAAAATGGTAGCCCGTCAAATGTTGTGGAAAATCAACGGTAAAATTGTTAATATTGGCTGCCATTTTGAATAGAGAAGAGATAGCGAGCTCTGGTTTGCACCATTCTTTAAGTTTTTGTAAACACTTCAAAATGAGGTGTCATTTGATAGGGGTTTCTATTGAAACATTTTTAGTTGTCCCCCGAACCCCCCTTTTGGGGGGACACTCAAAAATTTTAAATGTAAACCCCCTTCAAGTGACACCTCATTTTGAAGTGTTTACAAAAACTTAAAGAATGGTGCAAACCAGAGCTCGCTATCTCTTCTCTATTCAAAATGGCAGCCAATATTAACAATTTTACCGTTGATTTTCCACAACATTTGACGGGCTACCATTTTGGATAGAGAAGAGATAGCGACCTCTAGTTTTCACCATTCTCTAAGTTTTTGTAAACACTTCAAAATGAGGTGTCACTTGAATGGGGTTTACATTTAAAATATTTGAGTTGCCCCCCAAATCCCCCCTTTTTGGGGGACACTCAAAAATTTCAAAATGATAAAATGAAACTTCCTGCTAAGATTGCTCGACCACCAAAAGGATATCTCTGTATATTTACTAGGAAAAATACTAGAGGGGGGGGGGGTCTTGACTTTTTATTCACCCTGTATTATTTAGAATGACTATAAATTAATAACTGGCATTTTGGTTAGAATTATGAGTAGCATTTTATCATATTGAAAGATGTAATACTGACTAAGTAACATTTTTTTAACATACCACTTTCATATAGTTGATGATACTATAGCCGTGATCCCAGTTCTCATTGGTGTCGCAACTGAGAGGCTTAGGTTGAATATCCATACTTCTCAACAGCTGATCCACGGTTTTAGCGTAAAACAACACTGCATCATGGATCAGAGCTGTCTCAGTCTGAAAAATAGCATGGTTAATATTAAAGTAAAAAAATGGTGTTTGATCAAATATTTCATAGTTAGCAACTACGGTAATACAGTGGACTCCCTCTTATCCGGACTCCTCGGGACCGAGGCCGGTCCGGATAACGGGTTTACAAGATAAACCGACGTCCCCAAAAACTTGTTGAAACAGACTGTTTACTGTGATATTCAACTTATTAGGAGAGCATTGTATTTAGACAGGTTTTTTTTTTTAATAGAGGGCCAGGCTTACAAGTTACCATGGGATTGCATCGCAGCTAGAACAGCTTATTGTGCACCCTCGTTCACAGATCCTCATTCTCCGTCAAATCCCAGGTCTTTGGTGAACCGTGAGAGCCTTTTGACTATGGTGACCTGTTTTTCCCTTTGATCTCCCATCCAAGGGAATCTCATATGAAGACCTTGTAGGGCTGGACACATAACTATGGGTCCGCGGAATTGGCTAACTCTGGAACTCGCTAACCCCATGTTAAAAGCCCTATCTTCAAATTTGGTCGATGAGAGGAACTCGCTAACTTGTTCGGTTTCGGAATTGGCTAACTCCGGAACCCGCTAACCCGCTCTAGAGCCCGGTTAGCGAATTCCGTCCTCGTACGAAAGTCGCTAACTCGGTCCCTCGGCGGAACTCGCTAACTCCCAATCAGAAGCCTCGCGGGCCGTCCAATGGGAGCCAAGCACGAATATTTTCGGCCAGTGTTACCGAAAGTGTAGTACCTATATAGTATCGGTACCATAATGTCGTATCCTACGGTTAATTAGGAGTAAGAGCAACGTAGTTGATCAAATAAATATATTGAGAAGTATTTTGTTTAACATTATTCTCATGATTATTAGGGTGGAAAATGCATAGTCTTACCATAGACTAACCAACACAAGTAAACTTTATATCCCATTGTAAACTTTGAAGCTCGTTCTTCACGTCTAGTTCATGTCCGGTGACACTGATCGCTAGTGTCGACAAAATTGTGTTTCTATTATTTCTATAGTTAACTTCATAATTTGCTCTTTACTGTTTGGTTATATAACTAGGGGACGTGTATTAGTTGTGATTAGAACGTTTTATTTGGTTAAACGAGGTTTTAAATGACTGGAAACAAGAAACAATTGTAAACAAAACACGACCTCTAAAGACAGTGCACGGGACAGAACTAACAATAAAACTGTTTTCAGCTGATCCATAAGGATTAGAAATATACTAATATAAGGGAGTATGTTTTATATTTGGGCTTCTTACTTAAATAGTAGCTTTATGGTATGCAAAAAGATAAAAATGTACATTTAATTTGGATCTTTTTCATGTTATGAAATATCTATTTTCGTAGTGTGCCATTTGTTTCTTTTATCTGAATAAATACAATTTTTTTAACTTCTGCAAATAAATTATTGAGTTCGTATTTTATATACTGGGCTTGTAGCCTTGAATCATAAATCATGATAAAATTTACACGTTAAACGTCAGTCCAGAAATACATTGTAGTGGTAATGTATTTTTTAATAGAGCTATTGAATTTAAATACATATTTATCAATACAATATTATAAAGTTGTAGGCCTAATTTATTCATAAATTGCATTAAAAATTAGTCTATGCATAAATACAACTTGTAAATTTCTTTTATCATAGGCTATTAGTGTAGAACCCGGGTCATCCTCTTAATTTTGTTTAATTAATATTAATTTTACGTCTTTCAGTAGGCCTACTTTTTAAAAGTCTGGAGTTTTTCTCCAGGCTGGTTCTAAATGGACCCAGGCGTTCTTGTTTGTTACAATTCTTATGAATGGTGGCCATACCTAAAATTACTTGATCTTATCCAAAAACAAAGCTATTGTCTATTGAGTAGCTCAGTACCGGGGAACGGTGAACCGAGCAATGGCTTGGTATAGTTTATTTCGATTGTGAAACCAATGTAAAGGGAACCCAACTAAGAAAATCCGTCAATTCGTTGATTAAGAATCGTGAATTAAAATTACCCTGTCACGTTTTATTATATGAGTATTATATCTTCTCCTATTATTTACTAGTGGTGCTTAGGTGTACAATCTAAAAACTGTTTTAAAACATGTAACAGTATTACTAAAAAATTCAACACATTTTAGAATTAGGCAACTATTTACTAGTAGGCCTACAATGATGGGCTTAAACTATTAGGCCTAGATAAAAGCTTAGTAAAATGTCATATTTTTACACGTAGGTTGGATGATTCAACGACGAACATTTAATTTTAAATCTATGAATTAGTTATGAAAGTTACGATGGTCGATGACTGATGGTTGATGTTTGATGACGTTACGATTAAATTTGTTTTCCGTGTTTGAGAACTAGCGTGTATTTTAGCTTAATTTCGTAGAGTTTTAATTATTTAGTACCTTTTCAATATTTTTCAACTCTATTATTTTCTTTTATACCTATGGCATTAATATTTAAGATCGAAATCATAAACATTTAACTGGCCATTGTAGAGTTAAATAAAAAAAAAACACTTTTCATGATTTTTTAATAATTGTCTTTGAATTACTTTGGGCTAGTTATCTGTTAAAAGTGAAATTGATAACAAAAACAATTACATTTACTGTATCTTCATTGACACTGATATTTTGAAATACGGTAATGTACGATTATTTTGTCGTGCAAGGTTGGCAACGCTCCATGCAGTGGGCGCGGTAGGGTTAGCGACTTCCAGAGTTAGCGAATTCCGCCGCGAGACAAAATCGAGTTAGCGGGTTCCGGAGTTAGCCAATTCCTGACTGAGACGGTTAGCCAGTTCCAGAGTTAGCCAGTTCCGACACACGACCGAGTTAGCGAGCTCCTGAGTTAGCCAATTCCTACGTCTCATAACTATACCTTCACAGCTTTCACAAGGTCTCTGGCTGGGGCAAGCCGTAGCGAGATTTCCCCGAAAGGACTCAGCTCCTGAACTTGCTTGACCAGCCAATCCTTCGTGGCTGCGTCAGGACAGCCTCCACCTTTCTTCCTAGAGGCTTCATTAGAGTCAGCTTTGGGGGTACCACCCTTGCCCTGCTTTTTCCCAGCATCCTAGTTCCCGGAGGAACTGGCTTTGCAGGCAGCAGAGTTAGGGTGCTTGGCAGCCCACACCAGCCTCCTCTCACTTCTGGATAGCACCTTTTCACCTTTGGCTAAAGCATCCGCTATCCTCTGTCTTTGCAACTCACCCCTGGAAAGTCGTTTTTCGTACGAGGGATCTCATACGCAGACCTTGTAGGGCTGGGTACATAAATATACCTTCACAGCTTTCACAAGGTCTCTGGCTGGGGCAAGCCGTAGCGAGATTTTCCTGAAAGGACTCAGCTCCTGAACTTGCTTGACCAGCCAATCCTTTGTGGCTGCGTTAGCACAGCCTCCACCTTTCTTCCTGGAGGCTTCATTACAGTCAGCTTTGGGGGTACCACCCTTGCTCTGCTTTTTCCCAGCATCCTAGTCCCGGAGGAAACTGGCTTTGCAGGCAGCAGAGTTAGGGTGCTTGGCAGCCCACACCAGCCTCCTCTCACTTCTGGATAGCACCTTTTCGCCTTTGGCTTAAGCATCCGCTATCCTCCATCTTTGCAACTCGCCCCTGGAAAGTCGTTTTTCGTTCCTTTCCGGTTTCTGCGAGCTTGTCGTCATCGTCAGATTTCAGTAGACCTTCCTCCTCCATTTGGGTCAGATTGTCAACATTGTTCTCACGAATACCGGGTATTTAAGTCCATCTCCCCAGTGACCCAATTAGAGAGGTAAGGGGTGCGTACGACTGGGTTACCCCTGGTTCCCAGAGGGCTCCGTTAAGACACTGAATATTAGGCCCCCAGTGCCACAAGACTCTTGGCACGGATCGCATTACACCTTAGTCTAGGGCCCCCCTCACTTGGTTCTGTAGGTGGACCAACACCCATTGGCAGAAGGTAGCTCTCCGCAGCTAACAAGTGAGAGTTGGGGTTTAGGTTGTGGCCAATCTGCCGAACCAACCCCGCATGCGAGGTTTGGCCGGAACGGCGCAAAATTTTCTCCCACTCACTAAACCCCCATACCTTCCTATTTATATTAGACACGTGATCACTGTTCTCAAATCTTCCCCACGAGAACAGTTGTTTCAATACCGCCCACTTCCTGCAGATATAGTCCGGTTAAACCAATAAATGTGCTGATAAAAATTGTCCGGTTAAAGAGATGTCATTTCTGCCGAGAGCAGTCCGGTTAAACCGATATCCGGTTTAAAGGTGTCCTGATAAGAGGGAGTCTACTATGTAGTAATTAAACTTTGTTTTTTAGAAACTTTCGTTTTCATCCACACTGTACTTTAAGTTTTCAATTGTCCAAGTCATTTTTTATTATATTAGATAAATTACAAAGATGAAAGAACTAATTGAACTGGAAAAACGATAACATTGTTTTTTTTGTTACTTAGAAAACAAATTCATAAGACCCTCTATTTTTTCACACATAATAAAACAAACGCTTTTCATTGGTTAGAATAGAAAATTTATAAATTCAAACAAAAGTCTAAGTAAAATATGTGAAAATATTAAAAATAAGCGAAGCTGTATAATGACACTTATAACTGCTGGGTAATGGAGCTTACATAGACCGAGAATAGCCTTGAGTTGTGTCTTATAACCAATTAACATGGCTATGAAAGATTTCTAAAATAATTAATGAGATCACGTCCGGGATACTTAAACTTCAAAGACACTTTGAACACTATTTTGCACCCGTTCTCCAATATTTATTCCTGCAAATCTTGCCAGACTTATTTCAGACGTAGAAATAAGCAATGAAAAAAAAACATAAAAATACTCAACTACAAATAAGCAGACAACATAAGCTTCTGGACCTGATGCTTAGATTATGGTTTCTTTAAATGTATTTGAGTTTCATTGTTGCTATTGGTTACATTTTCTTCTTATTTCATTCAATTAACTGTAAAATATCCTGGGATAACACAAAAGTTATTTTGTTTTGAATTAGTATTATATGATTTAATCGTTAAATAAATGTGGAAATATAAAATGTTTGCATTGGATTCCTAATATGATAATTGATCAGCATTTTGTAATATTTAAAACCTGCAATATTTAGTTGTTATGTAGTTATGTAGTTATGTATGTAGTTATGTAGTTATGTAGTATATATTATGTAGTTATGTAGTTTTGTAATATTTAAATCTCAATAATCATTACATACCTCATTTCAACTTTCAGCCTGTTTCCAGAGAGAATGTTGCAAAAGTAATTTTTACTCTTAAAAACAAAATGTCAGCTGGTTGGGACGAAATTCCTGTTTAACTGATAAAGCAAACTGCCAACATTTTTTCTGGACCTTTAAGTCAGATAATAAACCAGTCTTTTGAAAGTGGAATTTTTCCTTATCAGTTAAAATATGCTGATGTGAAACCGCTTCATAAAAATGGCAGTAAAACAAACTCAGATAACTATCGCCCAATTTCCATCTTACCAGCCTTTTCTAAAGTTTTTGAAAAAATTATTACTGAGCAAATTTCTGTTTTCCTTGAAAGTAATAACATTTTTGTAAAAGAACAATATGGCTTTAGATCAGGACGTAATACAACTCAGGCTCTGTCTGACTTCTTGTGGGAGGTCGGCTGCAGCATTGATAAGTCTCAGAATGTTGCTGGAATGTTTTGTGACTTGTCAAAAGCCTTTGACTGTGTTGTACATAATATTTTATTTTCTAAGCTTAAATTTTACAATTTTTCTCCAATTGCTTTGAAGTTTTTGAAATCCTATCTTACAAACCGCTTTCAAAGAACTATTATTTTTAAAGATAACATCTATAACTTTTCAAAATGGAAAATGATCTATTGTGGTGTACCTCAGGGCTCTATATTGGGACCCTTGTTGTTTTTAATCTATATTAACGACCTGCCTTTTAACATAAACTCAAAGCTTGTTCTATACGCAGATGACACAACAGCTATATTAAAATCAAACAGCCCTAACAATTTACAAAATTTGATAAACCAAACTTTTGAAGATTTAAACAAATGGTTCAGAGCAAATGGTCTGAGTCTAAATTGTTCTAAGACTCAAATTGTCAGGTTCAAAACTACTCATGACAGAGAAATCATCAAATTAAATATTAATTTTCAGGGGGAAATTATTAATGAAACGTCATCTACAAAATTTTTAGGTATTCAGGTACAAAACACTTTAAATTGGGATAAATACACATCAGTTTTAGCTAATAAACTAAATACAGTCTGTTTCCAGATGTCTGTCCTGCAGCATGTTACTGACCTCAGAACAAGGATGATTGTTTATTATGCTTTGTTTGTGTCAAACATATTGTATGGAATAGAGTTCTGGGGCAGCTGCTCAAATGCCGAAACCATTTTCAAAATTCAAAAAAAGATCCTTAGAATTATGACATTTTCAAAGCCTAGGCAATCCTGTAAATTATTATTTAGAGAATTGGAAATATTAACACTTCCGTCTGTTTATATCCTGCAAACATTAATATTTATTAAAAAAAATCTTGAATATTTTATGAATGAAAACCATAACCATAATTATTTAACACAACATCAAAATGATTTACAACTGCCCATTCATAGACTTACCTCACTAGAAACCCTTCCACAATACCTAGGGAAAAAACTGTATAATAAACTGCCTGATAATATTAAATCATTAGATTCTTTTGAAAAATACAAAAAAGAAGTTACCAAATTGCTGCTTAATAAAGGGTATTACAAAGTTGATGATTTTTTAAATGATGTATATATTTGATTTCTTAGCATATTGTCATTGACTATATAACACATAGTCAATGATATTGTATAGTTATTATAGTTTTATGTATTTTAATTGTCCATGACCATTTCACCTGTTTCCCAGCTATGCTGGATCTGTAAAACGTTATGTGAAAATAAATGATTGACTTGACTCTTGACTTGATTAAATTTTGACTTTTAGAAAAAAAATGTACCAGTGAAGAAGCACAAGCCAGTGTGATATCTGATTTCGATGATTCTATGAAAACTAGTCTTTCTGTACCGAATGATTTTTAAGAGGAACATAAATAAAATACTTACAACTAATCAGCCCATCATAAATGTTAATAAATAAATTTTCTAAAACACTTTTCCCATCATAACATTTTATATTTCTTAGCTTTCATTGATGACACACAAATTCTCTGTGAAAGACAGCCAAAGTTATAAATTTAGTTGGTATATCCAGTTCTGTAGGATTACTCACACGTAAAGTTTCACCTGATATTTGGAGGTCTTTGTCTTTGTCCTTCCAGAAGCTCAAGACGTCTTTCACTTCGCTGCTGTCAGGGTCGAACAAACGTACACCAGTTATGTTTGTTCCTGCGTACATGAATGGTTCCCAGTTAATAGTTTGAAAATCCTGTAACACAAATTTTTCTGAAATTCTTGGTACTGTTAATGTTAATGTAGTTTACCATATTAAGGTTAATATCTCCATAGGGTGGCTGAAAAGTAACTTACACCCCCCCCCCCTTAACTTTCAACCATTTGAGATATTTGAAATCTGTTTCCTTCAAAGCTATGAGGGGCTACAATAATTATGGTCAATTTTGAAAATTTTGCCCTTAGGGGTGTGGGGGTAGGGGGTAGCTCAACATTTTCAAATAACAAGTAGTCGAGTTTGGTATCATTTTACAGGTCTTGAAAAACATAAAAATTGACATAAATAAAACCAAAATTGGCCCACTAATAACAAAATGGCGCCCTAAAACATTTCAAATTGAAATAACCATGAGGGTGGCTGAAAATTAATTTGCACCCCCTTTAACTTTTTAACTATTTGAGATATTTGAAATTGGTTGTTTGGATATGAAGGGCTACAATAATTATGGTCAGTTTTGAAAATTTTGCCCTTAGGGGGTTAGCTCAAAACTTTCAAATGACAAGTATAGTCGATTTTGGTATCATTTTACAGGTCTTGTTAAAAGTTAAAAGTAATTTTGAACTGCCATTTGTAAATGGTCCGATTTCTATCTTCTTTATGTTAATTGTTATGTTTCGTCAAGACCTGTAAAATGATACCAAAATCGACTATACTTGTCATTTGAATGTTTTGACCTAACCCCTACCCCCGCTAACCCTAAGGACAAAATTTTTAAAACTTACTACAATTATTGTAGCCCTTCATATCCAAACAAGTTGCTGCACACCGATTTCAAAAATATCTCAAATAGTTAAAAAGTTAAAAGGGTTGCAAGTTAATTTTCAGTCACCCTCATGGTTATTTGGATTTGAAATGTTTTAGGGCGCCATCTTATTATTAGTGGGCCGATTTTGGTTTTCTTTATGTAAATTTTTATGTTTCCTTAAGACCTGTAAAATGATACCAAACTCTACTATGCTTGTCATTTGAAATTTTTGAGCTACCCCCTACCCCCACAACCCCTAAGGAAAAAATTTTCAAAATTTACCATAATTATTGTAGCCCCTCATATCTAAGAAGGTTGCCGCAAACAGATTTTAAATATCTTAAATTGTTGAAAAGTTAAGGGGGGGGGGTGTATGTTACTTTTCAGCCACCCTTTAAACCAATATTAGCAATTGTCAAGTACCGGTAGTGGGAGAGCGAGCTGGTCTAGTGGCTAGGCCTGGGAATTCAGTCCCTGGACCCTGGAGGTCCTGAGTTTAAATCCCGCCAAATCACTAATGAATTTTATCCAACTGATGTCACGACCCCTAGGTCTAGCCTGAAGTAATTTGAAAAACAATCCTGGGCTCATGCCAAGGGTCTTAAGAAAAAATATAGCACTTTGTGTAAATATTTTGCCATGATAATCTATATTAAGATTAATATATAATTATATATTATTAGCCGAAGGAGATTTTCATGATTTTATTACATTTAAGTTGTTTGCCACTTATTCTTTATAGGTACTTAAAATCTACAATTGTTTTTTTGCTAGTGTGAGAACATACAAAATAAACTAACAAATTTTGGTTCACTTGTCACAAAAGTGTGTTGGTGAGTTCTTGATGTAGATCACCAGATATACAACAATAAGAACAAGAAGTTTTGAGTTTAAATAAAAAAAGTAGAACCCAATAACTGCCAGTGTGTCTCAATTCATCTTTAGAGGTTAACCCTTATTCACTTATTCTATCTTCAGATTCAGAGCTAAGTAATTCAGTAATTCTATACAAAATACTAGCATACTGTTGGATTCAGCTGTGAGTGAGTTTCCCTCTTTCCGCAGATTTTTAACAACAGTGTTATTATGTGGATGATTTAAAAGGATTTTCTTTTACTGACCAGAGATGTTATAATGTAACTGTAGTCAGCGCCCATCAAGCCGACTTGTTGTGCATGTAATAATACATCAAAGAGTATATCTGCTGAGCAATCCAACACAATGTTCTTCTGATTAGCATTCTTTATCCTCCGAAAAGTTGGCCTGAAATTAAATTAAAAATTAAAATCCATGAATCAAAATTCTATCCCCTTTTAGACTTTAACATGTTTTAAAACACTTTTAATTTGCAAGAAATTTCCAAAAATTTACAGTTTGAATTTTGTAGAGTACCTAAAATTAAAATTTTAAACTGGACCCAGCCGCTCTTGGTCATTGAAGTTAAAATTGGTAATTAAAAAGACTAGGTAAGCAAGACATATCTGACACGATTTTCATTCTTGTGTCTTAGCTTAAAATATGCACAATAGTGTTCCCAACTTAGTTGGTAATGATATTACTGTAATAGCAATGGTTTAGTATACAGTCAATGGTAATAGTTACAAGCATCCACAAATTTAGTTTTGGCCATTCTAGTACATAAAATGCTTTGTCTAATCATGATGCTAGTTTTGTTTCCGAACCTTTCCATTAAGATGATTTTATTTTAGGTTTTGATGTTTTACAACCAATTTACTTTTTTCAATTTCTAATAAAAGGGTTTCTAATTGCTCCGTCTTACCCTCCCCGCATCTGTGTTGATGATAGATTCAAATAAATAAGTAAAAAATATTTATGTTTAGGATAAAAACTCACCTGTAATTTCCTCCCTCGTCCAGTTGGCGGACAGTGACGGGATATCCCTTATGATCATAGTAGGTAAGGAGGCCATTCAGTCTGATGAGTCCATCATTGTCTTCATACACAATCGTGAAACTCTCCCACTCATAGATGCTCACTAGGTCGACAAACACCTTAAACAAACATTCATAAAAGAATCAAATAAGATATATGCACTTTTTAATGTCAAAGAATTTTGTGGCTTTTTCATCTTGAACAATGAACATTGTAGAAGGGTGAGGGAACAGATTGACCAGACGGGAGCCTCTTTGTTGTCTAGAGTCCCATCTCATCTCCACATGAGATATCTCCAATTTTTAGTGTGGCCTTGCTCCATGGCATCACAGATAGACTGTACATGGTCACTGGTGTCTACCTCACAAGTCTACTCACCTTTGACATTGTAGAAGGGTGAGGGAACAGATTGACCAGACAGGAGCCTCTTTGTTGTCTAGAGTCCCATCTCATCTCCACATGAGGTATCTCCGATTTTTAGAGTGGCCTTGCTCCATACCATCACATATGGACTGGGCATGGTCACTGATGTCTACCTCACAAGTCTTCTCACCTTGGACATTGTAGAAGGGTGAGGGAACAGATTGACCAGACAGGAGCCTCTACGTTGTCTAGAGTCCCATCTCATCTCCACATGAGGAATCTCCATGGCATCACAGATGGACTGGACATGGTCACTGGTGTCTACCTCACAAGTCTACTCACCTTGGACATTGTAGAAGGGTGAGGGAACAGATTGACCAGACAGGAGCCTCTACGTTGTCTAGAGTCCCATCTCATCTCCACATGAGGAATCTCCATGGCATCACAGATGGACTGGACATGGTCACTGGTGTCTACTGACCGAGGTCCAAACACTCCAGCGACACCTCCTCCCAGCATATTACATACTGAAAAGAAATGTTCAAAGTAACTTGGAATTTTTCCGGAAAACTTCCTCTATCATATGGTCAAAAGCACAACATTAATCTTATTCTTAATATAAGCTGCTTTTTAAGATCTTGTCAAGGGTCTTAGTTTCCTTTGCCCTGGGGTAAAATGAACTCTTCATGTTCAGTCAAATGAAACATATCCTATCCACAGTAGCTACATATGCTGTCCTCCCAACCAGAAGCGCTGTAGGCTGAAGGCTGTAACAATGTCACTAGTAATAGTTTTGATTTTTGACATTAGAAAATATGGACGTACCATAGTCATTTTCTATTTGAGACTTTCTTTGTAGCGGTAGATTTTTAAACAACTTCGTCAATTACTTCTATCCTATCCTCTTATATTATGAGCAATTTGCTGTGTATGCTTGCTTGCACAAAGATCTCAATAACTGCTTTGAAGATTTCCTTCAATTGTAAATAAGTTCTTTATGGCCTAAAAATTTGTTTCATCCAGTACAACTGACAACAAATAGTAATTTCATCACTAGGGCCTAAAGTGACTCTTTTAGCGAATTTCCCATATAGGGAATAAGCTATTACCGTAGTACTCATGGTAAGACCTGGACGCGGGACCGATTTTTTTTTTCGTTTTGAGGTCCCTAGAGGCCAAAAACACCATCCGTTCAAATTCATATATATATATATATATATATATATTTATATATATATATATATATATATGTGTCCGTCAGCACGATAACTCGAGCAAAAATGATCCGATTTTGATGAAATTTGGTACAAACGTGTAAACCTACGTCTATTCGAACGAGTTCGCGATCCAGCATGATCGGACCATGGGAACGAGTGTTTACGGGGGGTTTTATGGGGTAAAAATAGGTTTTTCCCAATTTTGACCCAAAAAACATAAAATTTAGCAATTAATTTCCAAACCATTTTGTAGAGCTTCAAAAAACAAATAATTTAGTATATTGAAGCGTTATTATGCGCCTAATGGTTACGGAGAAAATTCCAAAAAATTGTAAATTTAAAATTCCCATGTTATTCTTATGGAGAATGAGAAAACTGTTGTAGTTTGCTTGTTTATGAACATATTTTGATCAAATTTGGAAAATGTTTTTATTTCTTACTAACTATTAACATTTTACAAAAAAAAAGTTTTACCCTCCCTGGTGCAGCAAACCTAAGTACTTGTTAAACTAATTCTATTTAAATCGGGAATAAATGTTATATTTTTAAGTAGACATTTCAGTGTAAATCCAATCAGTCAAATGGAAATTCGCTTAGTCTGCAGGTTTGCTGCGGCGGGGGTATTTAATTCATAAGGTCTAGTTTTACAATCGAGACGAAGCAGAAGTCGGTAAATGAGCGAGGGTTAAAATGTCACTTTTTAATCGTGCTTTTTACCCGTGTGGTGATCTATATTTTTCGTCATATTGCTATTTGCTTGATTAACAAACAAAGCTAGAAAACAAAATAATTGTTTTATAAGGATAACCTCTCAAAACGACTTCCAGCTTCCAGCTGGTTTTCAATTCTGCTAATGAAAATAAGCAGCTTTTTAGTGAGATGCTATCCTTATAACTGTGAGTTTACGCGTAATAGTAGTTTAGCCCGTTTAGCCTGAGTAAACAGGTGACCGACGCCGAGCAACGCTGCTGTCTTCATTGTTAAAATACTTAAAATCACGACTATCAAAACAGAGATAGTTTATTAAAACAAAACCACGAATATAAACGTTCCCGGTATGGATCATAAACATAAACAAATGATGTAACTACGTCTGTTACTGTTTGTATTTTGGATGACGAAAATATTTTTTACGCCATACTACACTGTTTTAACGAACTTCCCACGCAAGTATTTAGTCCAGAAAACAGCTGTTTGCCGCCAGCTTAATCAAATGGGGTTTCATTGCGTACTACTGTTATGCAATGAGTTTTACCGGACACCAATCAGCGGGAAACGGACTTTCGGCCTGCGCTGCCCCTGACTCGGCCTGGGCTGCCCCTATTATGTGGTGTAAAGGGTAGGTTTCTCGGGAGTAGGTACCTGACCTGAGCTTACGCTTTACCCACTAAATCCCAGGAATCTCCCGGAAATACCTGTGGGGTGGTGGACAGGGTCGTCGACACAGGAAACAGGGCAAATAGCATTGGAGCCAACCTTCTAGGAAATACATTACTATTGTATTAGAATACTGCTGTAATCTTTGGCATTAACGACTCAGGAAGTGATGGTGTCTACGGGTGGTGGATATCCGCCCCAAATAAACCTATTTTTGTTTCAAAATTTTAGATTCAAAAATACGCAAATTCTTACTACATATAATAAATCTTTTATGCTTCTTTTAATACTGTAGTAGTGGAGAACTACCGGTTTAACAGCACTTGGGGCGTTTTTTCCCATAAGAATAACATGGGGATCATTTTTTGGCCACCAAAACCAAAAATCCTGATCTTTGCCTAAATATCCCTATATAATTGTCAAACCTTATTTCTTACTTATTCCCTATAAATATATTCGATATTAAGCTAAAAAAGCTATTTCTTACATTTATTTACCCTTACAAGTGTACATTTAGAGTAGATACAATAGGACAATATGACACCACTTTAGGCATGTTTTCCCCATAAGAATAACATGGTGAGCTTTTTTTGACCACTTTTTTAAAAATCCAGCTCTCGGCCTATACAAGCCTATATAAATGTTCAATACCATTGTACAACACTATTAAAATTTCAAATCCATATCCATTCACATGTATATTCTCAAAATCATCAACTTGACAGTGCGAGGTTTGTACGCGAACTCGGGCGCGCTCCCGGCTTATGACGTGCTCCCTTGGACATCCTTAGTGGAAATCCATGAGTTCTGGCTACTTGGGAACCCAAGCCATTTGACATACAACGAATCACCTTTTTTCCTAATTATCTTCTCTACCAAATACATGTCCTTATACTTGGTCTTTAACAACTCCTCTGTATAGAAGCCTCCCCTGATTATATTGCCATTTTCATCTTTCAAGATATAAGTCACAGGCTTTGTATTCTTAACTTCTGCTATTGTAAATAGTTCCCCTGTCCAATTTGGAGTATAACCTTTACTAAAAACATGTTTATACTTGGAAATCCTTACGCTATCACCTACCTTATATCTTGGCTTTTTAACTTGCTCTACTTTAGAAGTCCTTTCATGCAACCTCTCATGCACATATTTACTATTTTTAACATTCACTTGGTTAGGCTTCATTCCTATAGATCTATGCACTTTATTATTATATTTTCGAATTAACTTTGGAAGTAAATCCAACCATTTATAACTCCCCTGAGCACTAAATTCCCTATATAACCAATTCTTTAAAGTTCTCTGAAACCTCTCCACAATTGCAGCCTTAGTTGTAGAAAATGTGTGATAGTGATTAATATTTAATTGTTTCATTAGTTTGCTAAAATATTGATTAAAAAATTCTTTTCCATTGTCAGATTGAATGTTTTTAACCCCCTTTGGTAGAATGGTTTTAATGGCTTCTGTAACCACCAAACCCGTCTTATTCTTTAGTGGAGCAGCATAAGCTTTTTTAGAAAATGTATCTATTAAAGTTAAAATATATTTATTGCCAGAATTTTCTCTAGCATAGTTTTGCATATCAATTAAATCTATTTGTACGGTTTCATTTATACCTAATACTTTGAAAGACCTTCTAATGAAATTCTTTCTTGCAGGCTTATGAAGTTCGTATGCAATTTCATTCATTTTTTATAACATCATCCTTTCCTGTAACTCTAAATACATCACCATTAGCCCCAATCAATAGATTATCTTCCATTCTTTTAAATACATAGTTTTCTGGTATATATGGTCTATTATCTATATACTTAAATCCACTCAAAGATGTAGGGTCGGCAACTAATAAATCAGGATTATATTCCATCAAATTAAAAATTTTTTCTCCATATACAAATTTTGATCCATCGTAATGCATAGATTGTGACATTAGACAAATATCATCCAAATGTTCCCCCTCTGGTAGATTTCTTATGAATTGTTTTTTGGCATCCCAACATTTTTCTTTTTTATCAAAAGTTATAGTCTGTTCTTTTATAACACAGTCAGTGTCATCAATGGCAGGTTTAACACGTACTAACCTTTTACTATTAAAACTCCAATAGCCTGCTTCCATTTTTGGAACTTGTGAAACATTCACAGCATCTTTACTATCTGTACCTTCCATCAAATTACTAATTTTCTGTTTCTTCGCATTCCAAACACCATTCTCTGATTCTAAAAATTCATAATTATTATTGTCTTGTACAAATTTACCATCTTCTTTTCGTATTAAAGTCTGTTGTAAAGTGGGCACATCATCTAAACTTTCACCCTTTTCCACATTAGTAATTTTCCGTTTCTTAGCATTCCAAATACCATTCTCTGATTCTAAAAATTCATAATTATTATTGTCTTGTACAAATTTACCAGCTGTTCGTATTAAAGTCTGTTGTAAAGTGGGCACATCATCTAAACTTTCACCCTTTTCCACATTAGTAATTTTCCGTTTTTTAGCATTCCAATTTTTATTCTTGGATTCTAAAAACTCATATTTAGTTTTACCTTGTAAGAAGACATCACCTTTTCTAGTTAATGTCTGTCCCAAAGTTGATACATCATCTACAAACTCCCCATCTTTAACATTACCAAGTTTACGGTTTAAACCATTCCAACTATCGTCTTGTAAATTTAAAGTAGGTTCACTACTAGCCCTGGGTTCTGCAGGCTTATTATATGGATTATATAAACGATAAAATTTATCTATAAACATATTTTTATTTAATAAATAATTCCACTTTCTCTCAATTCCTCAATAATGGAATCTATTTCATTATCCACTCCTGAGTTACCGGCTTGGCGACTTAGCCAAAGAAGTCTTAACCTATCTACAAGCTCATTAGGATCATCCCAATAAATATAGTCTATTTTCTTACCAGTCACTTGTCTCAAAC